TGCAAACGCACCAAAGTCACACACAACGTGTGCGTAGTGCTTTTTTTTAATATTATAGCTCTGCGTAACGAGTGAAAGTGTCAGTGTACTACGATGTACAAATGTAAACAAAAACAGCTGAGTTTTATCTAATTCTTTTTTCTTTATTTCATCGGCTTTTTGTTCATTTTCAAAGTTTTATTTGCTTCGGCATGCTTGTCATTTGGCTGGTGTTCTCTATTTGTTATCAATAAATTTAATTATCATGATTTTCAACAAACTCAAGTGCACACTAAATTATCTTTTATTACGTAAAGATAAGACATTTTTTATGGGTATGCGCCTAAATATTATGTGGCCATTTATCATGTATTTTTCCGCGCAAATATTTTTACTATATGTAAGTTGAATTATAATAGCCAACGTGTTGATTTTTTTCTTCTGAATTTTTAATGGACACCCATTTGTTAAATCTTTAAATTAGTTTAAACGTTCAAAACAATGAAAATAGTAGCGATTTCAAAACGATTTAAATATATTTACATATTTGATATCGAATGTCTACGTTTATTAATAAAGCATGCAAAGAGCTTTTTTTGTTATAAATGAATGGATTTGTTTTTTCCAGACGTAATTAAAATGCAATTGTTTGAAATGAATGATTTGATTTGGTATGTAAGGTGAAAGTTGAGCGAAGTGTCACAAAAAAAAAATGAAATAAAGAAAAAAGAAACCAAATAAAATCAAGTATTTTATTTGTTTGGGGAAGAAGAAAAAAAGACGCCCGAATTCATGTGTGCATTGCAGACACGTTCCGATTTGTTGGACGGTGAAATGTGTTGAGGAGTTGTGTGTCGTGTGAACGTTGACTGGTTGGAGCACACACAGGACGCTAACCGCTTAACATTCGTTGTGTGTAGTCGGTCTCTATCTGCGTGATGCTGTTTTTGATGCTCCATGTGTATTTTATCACAAATGGAAGAGATATATGCTCTAAGAACTTTAAAATCGATAATATTCTTGGTATTTTCTCTTTTTGATTCCGTTTTTATATATCTCCGCGTACACACTACATCCGATAATGCTGCGCTGGCTCAAGATTCTAGCTCTCGTTTTACTCGCTCGCTTGCTCGCTCACTCGTTCGCTTGTTCACGCGCTAACTACGTACATTTCCACACACAAATCTAAATGAGCATTGTATGCTCGGTTGTGTATGGAACGAAAGACGGATTGGAATTGGAGAGTTGCCCCACTTCAATTTCTGCCGCTTTGTAAATATGTATGTTCCTTTATTCTTGTTTAAAATTCGCTTTTGCCTTACGTTATCTGCTGGCAGAATTGCGAATAAAACACATAATGAAGAAAACATATGAAATGAAAAAGAAAAGAAATTTGGATACACAAAGAAATGAAGCAGCAACAGCTACAACGCTGTATAAAACAACAACGAATGGCAAAAGAAGAATATATATATATATTGAGTTCAGCCACATGAGAAGAGAAAAAATAAGCTGAGAAAGCAATAAAAAAGCATCAGGAGCACATACAGCATTGCAAATGATTGAAAATGAAGCTAGAAATAATAAAAAAAGACGATGACGACGACGCAAAGAAAGAAAGAAATCAACGCATATAGCAATATCCTTTTGCCCCGAACCATTCGCGCGCATTTAAAATGTTTAGATGTTCTTTCGGTGGTGTTATGTGAGTCTATATGCAGCAGCAAATGATATATATATGCATTGTATGGACATATTTTTCGTATGCGTTTCTCTTTCTATCTCCGTCTCTGTCTCCACATTACTGCACTTTCCTTGCAATTCTATTTTCTACTTCTTCTTTTTCTTGTTCGCTTCAGTGCTTTATTTTTTTTCGATCTCATCTCTCTCTCCCTCTATTTCTCTCAGTTACCGCTCACTATTATTCACATCAGTACATACTCTATGAATGCACCAGAACATCAAACGATAAAATGCCCTTGTTCATCAGTCTTTCTGTTGATGATTTTAATTCTTTGCTTTTTATTGCTTCTCTGTTTTGTTTTCAGTTGGTCTTGGATTTTGTCTCTTTTTTCTTTATTTTTCGTTCTCTTTCACTCCCGCACTCTCTCAGTGCCGGGATGGCTCTATCACTCTTTTCACTTGATTCTTTTTTTTTCGTTTGCATTTCGTTCATTTTATTTAATTCCCATCGTGAACGGGCAATATGAGAAAAGGTAGAGAATGTCATGCGAGATATGCTGCTTACAATCATTAATTCTTTCATTCTATGTTATGAGTGTATGTTTGTGTGTAGTTTTTTTTATTCTTCATGTGATAAATACACATACTAATTCGTGCATAGCATTTTATATACGAAGAAAATTCGTGTAACGTCATTGCCGCTTCATCATAACCAAAAGTCAAATGAAATCGCATAGAAATCTATGCTGATGCACATTGAGTAGTGTTGCTTCGTGTGTTTTTTTTTCGTTGGTCTTCATGTACATATTGGTGCTTGGATTTTATATCTTTTCCTTTACATCGGACCGTCCTTCGTTCGCCGAACCAAATAAATTTCTATATTAATAACTCAAAACGTACATATCGAAGAGAATATTTGTTGGTTTTCTCACTAACTTGGCTGCTTCTGGTGTTGTTGTTGTTGTTGTTGTTGTTGTTGTTGTTGTTGTGGCTATACATGTATGTATCTTTCGTCGTTTGTTACGCTGCGTTGTTTTTTTTTTTGTTCTCTACACTTTAATTGCGAACTTGCATACAGCTATCCTTATATTTAATCGCGTAGCCGTTGCGAATTTGTACATGTGAAGATACAAAAAAGTAATAGATGGCTTTAGCGAAGAATGAAATGAGTTAAAATGCAAACACACACACACATCAAACTACGAAAAAAAAAACACGGCGATGAGGAACGCGGCTAAACGACAAAATGGAATAGTTTGGTGACGGTGTTTGCAAAGTTTTGTAACGAAGAAAGAAAACCACCACACACCGTATATATAACATGCATTTAACCGAATGTGTACATGAACTATACGGCATTTTAAATTGAGGCAACGAAAAATTGCACAACTCTTTTTGTTTCAATTTGCAGTAGATTTCATTCCATTTTCATTCGCACATAACAGCAATAACAAATGAATACAGAAAAAAAGGTTACTAAAAAACACTTTGAACCTTGCGCGCGCGTTATAGAGAGAGAGAGAGAGAGAAGAAGAGAGGAAAAATAGACAAAAAATAGCGGAACGCTGATTAATGCCTGCTCCTCCCAACGTCACATACACGAGGAAAAATTTGCCACTGTCGAATAAATAAGGAAACTCATTGTGTATATATGATATAAAAATATCCATATTGCATGGAATTTAATTGACAAATTTTGCGTTGGTCATTTTTCGACAAAAATAGAACAATCTAATTCCTTTGCTTGAAATTATCTCAATTAAAATAGTTTGTCAAAGAGTCGAGTACCGTAAACCCACTTTGAACTCTGTCTCTTTCGATATCCTTCTTTTTCGCTCCATTTCTCTCTCTCTCGGTTCAGGTTCATGTACAAAAATATAATTTAAGCATAATATTATTTCGGAGTTTCAAGCTCCTTAATTTTATGAAAGCTGGAGAAAAAAATCATAGTTGCGAAATGTTCTTTATTAAAAACAATTCAACACTCAAGTAGCATATAGTGTTGGCTCCACAATTAACGAAAAATGTTTAAACAAAAAGAAAATATGAATGAATTTTGATTGCTTGCGTGCTTGTATTTGAACAAATATTAGCGGTCATTAACTCTTTTATTTTTTCCAATTGAAAATTGTTATTAGCATCTTGTGTCATCTGAAGTTGTGCACTTTTTGATTCGAGAGTGCAAAAGAAGCACGCAAATACTGTGGTGCATACTTGAGCGTACCTCGAATAATGACTAACAAGACAACGGGCTCAAATGAAGGCGAACGTAATGCAACAAATTACAACAACAACATCAGTCAGCACCATAGGCAATGTAAACGACAACGACTGCGATGATGATGAAGAAAAGGAACCGCATCAAACTGAAATAGATACATAATGCAATAAAAGATGAGCGCGATCGTTCGTTTGAACATTTAAACCTAATACGCACAAAAACATGCTCTCACTCACAAAGCCAATGCATCTAACGAATATGCGCTTCTTTGTACAATTTTTCTTTTGCCATCGTTATTATTCTTTTGTTTTTTTTTTCTTCGTTCGTTCAGACTCTGGTGTTGCTTAGTTCTGTGTTGTAGTTGTTGTGATTATTGCTGTTGAGTTTTTTTCTCTCTCCTGTAACCTTTTTTTTTCATCGACTTGCTCTGTAGTCAGTCGAATGCATGTCGTCTTTTGTTTGCGCTTTTCGTTGTTATTCGCGCACACAACTGAAGAGATCTCTTTTGCAAATGGACACATCGATTTAGAATGAATGCCTTGCAATTCAGATTGGTTGCACGAGAATGGAACGGGTCAGTGTACGGAATGGCTTCGTATTATACTAAATACGTGTGATAAAATATATTTATCTGTTGTACGTTGAATGTATGGGTGATTTTATGCGCAATTATACACATAAAAATCATATGAATATGGAATGAGAGAATGCTATGCAGTCGCCGCAAACACATGTGTGCATGAATTTCGTTGATTGTATATTCGTACCTTGGCGTTATTATGATCATTTTAGCATATGAATCGTCAAAGAAAAATTTATGTGAATATACGATTTACGAATCGAAATGGGAAAGCAACGAAAATTAAAAACTAGAAAATTAAATCGACAAAAACAATTCAAATGCAACTACATTTTTGTTTCCTTTGAAAAATCCACACGCACATACATATACTTTTTGCCGTTTAACATTGTGATTTTCCGGCATAAAAAAAAACTAAGGGAAATTCAAACAAAACAACAAAAAGTGAAGAAAAACTTTTCTCTTCAAAACAAATTTCATTCCAAGAATTTTTCTTTTACGATTTGAAATTAATGATTTTCTTTCCTTTATTTGCAGAACTCCTACGCATAGAAATAATCTTCTTGAGTATGAATTATACGTGAATAGGGTGTTTATGACAACGTACTTAAACAACAACAACAAAAATTTCCACTTACATCACGTGAAAATAAAAGAAGCCTTGATCTTTATAGACTCTTGATATGATATAATTTTCAACATGAAAGTGGAATTCAAAAAGAATCGATTCGTGTGATTTGTAGCAGAAAAATAGTGAACAGAAGAAGAAAAAAATCGAATGAAAAAGAAGAAAAATATTTATGTGTGCATGAGAAAAGAAAATGTGGAGAAAAATGGCGAGTTAAACACTGGAAAATATTAGGTGCGTGTAAATCACACACGGAACTTGTGATTTTAATTTAACATCGAAATAATTGTAACAACAACAAGAAGTGAACTAAACTATGGACAAAAGGTTTTTAAAATACTTTTATAATTAATTCTAACGGGATAGAGATAAAGAGAGAAAACCAAGTGCTCGTAGTGCAAAGTGAATCTGATGTGTGTGTGTGCGCGACGCTCAATTAAGTGCACACACAAATTTTAGAAAAAATAAAAAACAAAACAACAACCGCAAAAAGTACGAAAAACAAATTCAGACATCGGTAGTGGATTTTATTCTACCAATCACAATTTATTACACACTCACATACATCGATCATGGATAAAGAGAATGGAAGCGGTGGCGGTAGTAGTAAACATAAAAGTAGCAGTAACAGTAGCCGACAACCAACGATCGATGTAAACGACCCAAGTTCATTATTAAATGCTGCTTCATTATTTGGTAAGTTGTTGAAGTTATTACCACATAAAAAACCACATCAAATTGTCATAATTTTGAAATCACTTCAAAATACTAATGTGGCTGCTGCTGCTGCTGTTACAATTTCTAGTGTATTGCCACTATAGCATAGTTTTCGGTATACGATGTAGAAAACTTTCTGACATTAAAGCGTTGGAATCAAACGTAAAATTGTAAATTGGATTCCATTTTTTGCACAAGTGAAGTTTTGCTGTTGCTAGTTTCTGTACCGAGAACATTTCATGTTCAATACGATACTATGATAATAATAAAAAAAATGGAAATGATATCAATTAGTTGAAAGCGAAAATATGAGCGTTTACGCATTCCAAAAAAAATAGATATGCGATTGTTTTTAAAACTATTATAATAATTTGTGATTGCATCTCAGTCAAATAAATTTGAATGTATGAATTTTTGATAAATTTTTAGCTTATTGGGGTCGCGATCCCTCGGCAGCTACCGCAAACCCATTATTTGGAACACCATTTGGAGCTGGCCTTGGCATGCTACCAACGGGTGCTTCAAACGCAAATGACAGATTCACAATGGGGCATCAGCAACAACAGCAACAACAGGTAAACTGAATCGATTTTTTGTCGCTTGTATTGTGGTATACTAATTTACCAAATTGGATCGATTTAATTCATTACCATGGTTTGTATTAAAATAGGCACAACAACAACAAAATGCAACAATGAATGCGGCTGCATCGCAGGCAGCCAGTTTAGCCGGTCTGCATCCTGCAAGTGAGTAGTTTCGGTTTCAATTTTTCCGATTATTTTGTCAATATTGACAGTCGATTTATTCGAAATTATGGTAAATGTGATATATTTTGTTTGGTATTACTAGGTTGGTGGTCGATGGCACAATTGGCTGCACAAGACTATTTTACACGACTTCAGGCATCTGGACTGTCGCCATTTCCCCATCCAGACTTGGCGGCTGCATTTCCCGGTATGGCTGGCATGGCGGGTGCATCAAATAGTGCCGGTTCAACGTCATCGAGCAATTCACGACAAAACAATGGCGATTCAAAGGGCAAAGGTCGCAAAGAGAAGAAATCAAACAGCAACAACAATAACAGTGGACACAATAGCAGTTCAATCAATAACAGTAGCAGTGGGGGATTGAATATGAATGTCGGCACCTCATCATCGTCTCCATCATCATATAAGGTATGATTTATGGATATTTATGAGTAGTTCAATAAATTCCAGCCGTTGTTTTACAAAATTTTAATCGTTTAAATTTCGATTCATCAACATATAGTCGTCGTCATACAAGTCATCATCGAATCAGTACAACTCAGCTGCTCTACATAAAGAACTGTTGGCAATGCAAGCTGCCGCCGTAGCTGCTGGTGGTTTGGGGTGAGTTTAAGTCGTTTCTCTTTTTTTTTTGCTTTCTCTTCACTTGTGATTTGTGTCAATTTGAATGGAGTTATAAATCAAATATACATTTTACAGTGCACACAGTTCGTCTTCATCATCGAAAAAATCGAGTCAAACAAATAGTAAACATTCAGCTTCGTCATCGGCGGCCGCATCCAATTTTTCGCTGGGGTTTGGTGGCACATCGATGGCAAACCATTCCACATCGTCCACCACATCATCTCCACATCATTCTAGTTTATCCAAAGAATCATCACGATCAAATAATAATACCAGCAACAGTAATAGTGCCGCAACAGCCGCAACTCTTAATGCTCTCAATTCATTGTCACAGTTTGGTAGTTTAAGCTCATTGAGTTCACCGCAAAGTATGCAAGCAGCTATAAATGCGTTGGCCGCAAGTACGTATATTTCCAAAACAAAAACAAACATAATGGAAACGACGTAAACAATATTAATGGAATACATTTTCTTGTGGTTGATTTTTTCTTTCCTGTTACAGCAAGCGGCGTAAATCCTTCACCGTCCGGTTCATCATCGAAAGGAAAAGACTATATGCCATCTGGGATTCTAAGGTAATTCAATATTTAAACCCATTGCCCTCATAGTATCTAACACCAACCAATGCAATGTTCTTTTTCTCTCTTGCTCTCTGTGTGTTTCTTAATTATTTTGATTCGCAATCGGTCCGCACAATAGTGCTGCACTTGAAGGAACGTAAGTGCCCTTTTAATCTCTCTATCTCTCTCTCTCTCTCATGTCTTATCTCTCATTGAGATCATGTTATTTTTTGTTTGGCTCGGTTTGGTTTTGGTCTTGTTTTTAACAATTCAATTTATTTTATAGTTCAAATAATTTTCGAATATATTCAGCGAGTATTAAATAAAAATGAATGTTGTTACAGTGACCCGTCGTCGTTACTTGGAGTTCGCTTACCACCAGATACGGAAATAATTAAGTATACATCGTCAATTGTTGGGCCAAAAAATCCAGGTACAACCAATCGAGGTAGAAAGAAGACAATTTCGCTTGATCCAAATCCACTTTTAGCAACTTTACAAGGATTGTCTAGTATGGGCGTTAGCCCAGCAAAACGGGCATGCCTTGAGGCCGAATATGTTGCGAGTGTACAAAATGCTGTGGCTCGACAACAATTACAACAACAACAGGTAGATTTTGGATGCATTATTTCAAATGAATGATATGTCGCTTTTTCTCTGAAAACAAACTGAAAAAAAAAACTGACTAACATGACATTCATCCTCATTAGCAACAGCAACAGCAACAATCGCACCAAAATAATGATCGCGTTGAAGTGATCAAATTGCCTCCAACAATCACATCGAATGGTGCATATAATTTATCGAAATCAGGGACAACAAAAGACTCGTCGGCCGAATCGAATGAATGGGCTGGTATGAATTTCAGTAGCAAAGTATCGAATGCGTCAAGCACTGACGAAGGTGACGCACCGCTAAATCTTTGTATGAAATCATCATCCGATTCATCATCGAAAACGGCCGACTTATCCACATCAAATACCGGTAACAGCTTGCAAAGTCTAAGCTCAATAACAGCTGCACTTGGATCAGGCGGTGGAAACGATAGAATGCGTGAGTAATAGTTTGGTCGTTGTTTTATATCTTTTACAATATTCGAATGGATTTTGATTTTGTGGTTTTTCATCGCACTTCTTTCTTCACTCATTTCTTTGCTTCGTAATTGTAGTGAATTACAAGGAAAGTCGACCGAGAAATTTGGGTCGTGGCGTTTCAAAGCCGAAGAAAAATACGGTGGCCTCATTGTTAGCACAAAGCCGAGCGGTTGGTTTAAAGCCAATGCTTTCAACACAGCAACTGCTTAGCCAAGGAGCTGATTTGGTAAGATAAATACATTTATTCACATTTACGACGACGATCAATTGATACTAAATCATACGCTTTTTTTTCGTTAATTCAGGAAAAAATTCGACAAGCAATAGCCGATAATTTGGCCATGGATGTTTCAACTGATTCCGAAAGCGTGGCCGACACAAGTGGATTATCGGATTCTGATACTGAAGAACCATCCTCAAATCTAAGTGATTTGCGTGTTCCATTGGAGAAGGGTTGGAAACGTGAAACCATCATTCGTGGTCTTACAAAGAATGGTCAGATTAGAGGCGACGTATTTTACTATGCACCCGGCAATTCTACCACGAAACTTAAACACATTGGCCAAATTCAAACGGTATTTAATCAATTAATCGGCACTAAATCAATGGGCACACAAATAAAACTAAAACAATGTGATATTTCTTTTGACAGATTCTCGATCAAACCCAATCGAAATTGAGCCGTGACAATTTTAGTTTTTCGGCCAAAGCAATTGTTGGTGCATTTTTGCAGCCAGCACCAGCACCATATGCAACGGATGGTGAATTCATTCGCATGACCGATACCGAAGTAGCAAAACGCCTAGAGGAATTGAAAATGTTCACACGACAAACATTAAATGTTGAGCAACGCATTGAAATCGCAAGACAACAGCAAGCAATTCGTGAAGCAAAAAAATTGGCCAAAGAAGAATTGGCAAAGAGCAAAGAGAAGGCAAGACATGCCCGTGAACTCGAAAAGAATGAACGACTTGAAGCACAACGAAAAGAACGTGAACTGCGAAACCAACAAGCAGCTGAGGTACAACACACAATTCATTCTTTTTCCGCTTTGTTAACTAACAAATATGTGTTTATAATCGACAGGCTCGACGAAAGAAACAAGAAGAATTGGAGAAGGCAAAACAGGAAGAACTTTTACGGAAACAACAGGTATACAATCAACCATGACATTCTTAGTGAAAATCGGTGAAAATTTAAACCAATATATTTTTGCGCTGAAAATAATCGAAAATTTAGTAGGAGAAAAATAGAAGTCATACACACTTTTATAATAATAACATATTCACATAATAAACATCACACTATCAATCAATCCGATTTCAAATTCAAATAAGAATCACTCAATCATTTAATGGTATCGCATTATTTTCTTGGAATTTGTAGGAAAAAGAAAGAAAGAGACAAGAAGCGCTGGTTCAGAAAGAACAGGTCATAAATCGCATTGTGTTAATAACTTTTGTGGTTTGATCATTATGTTATTAGTTTTTTTTTGTTCTTTTTTCTTTCGTATGTTGGTCATTCGTAGAGAATGTAAAATTCCACATTTCGTAAATTGCTGTTTGATATTATTATTTACAAAAATGAGCGCGTAGAAAAAATCCAATTGGATTTCTATAAATTCTTTTTTTTTAGTTTTATCTTAACCCTCTAATGCATTAATTTTTTTTTCGACATGAGAACCATTTTTCTATGATTATTTTGGTTTAAAATTCATTAAAAAAATAATCGAAATTCAAAAAATTGCATAGTTTACTCAAAAAATGCTATTGACAAAATTAGAGAACAATCGAATCCATTGTTTAAACTGCTATAAAATTGCTATAAACGAAGAGAGGAATAATATTTTTTGTCAAATTTCTGTTTTCGCGTACATCTGTGTGTATAATTAAACAGCCGCTTTATTTTCACTTGTCAAATGACCGGCAAATGAAAGCCTGAACCCTGCTGAATATATTTTAATTCATAAATAGAATCATTTGTTTTTAATTATATATTTTAGACAATAATTTATACACCCTGCCTAAAGGCAAGGCTATGCACTAGAGGGTTAAAGCGTTTTCTTTATTACCGTTTATTTATCATTTTTTGGTTTTGATTTTGAGTTGAAAAATTTGAAAATTGGCATTACCTTTAGTTCGTTCACTGACGATCGCATTACATTTATTTACAGGAGCTTGCCAAGCAAAAGGAATTGATGTACAAAGTTGAAATGGTATGAATCCGATGCTTGCCCCCATTCGGACTTTCATCAATATAATCAGCTATAATCAGCTGAATCAACCTTTCTGATGCAATACAATACATATTTCTCTCTTTATTCATTTCTTAGGAGCGTGAACGTAGGCGACAACATTTAACACTCATTCAACAATTGGACGGTCGACGTCAATTTGAAGAACGTGAAAAGAAAAAACATCAAGTGAATATCGTCATCAATTTAAACAATGTTTTTTTTTGTTGTTGCCTTTTGTGTCATTCACATTTCATTAATTTCCGAATGAATGTTCACACTTTCAGATGGTATTAGATAAATTGATAATTCGCGATCGAAAGCTATCAGCGCGTAAGCGTGATGCTGAACTATTGGCCGAACTGCGAAAGCCGCAAGAAGACTCTGAAATAATCAATCAAAAAGAATTTCCAGCTTTGGAACGTTTGCCGGGCTTGAAATTGACAGGAAAAGCCTTGGCAGATTTGCTAATGGTCTTTGAATTTTTGCATAACTTTGGTGAAACGCTTGGATTTGGTATGTATTTGGTCCTTATTTTTTGTTTTACTGAAATATAAAAAGGGGACGTGACAGACTAAATGGTATTTTTCTCTCTTTTCTCTAGATATGGAATCGTTGCCTTCGTTACAAAGTTTGCATCAGGCACTAACAAGTGAAGATGCACTTGAAGCGGAAGAAGAACTGTTGTCAATCATTTCACATTTGTTAGTGTGTGCAATTGAAGATCCCGGTGTTCCAAATCCGGTAAGATTCTTAATTCTAAAAGTCAATGAAAAACACTTATGATTTATAAATGTTTATTTTTTTTACTTTTTTTATTATTCATATTTCAATTTTCAGGTTCGACACACAACCCTATTGGGACAATCATTGCGTACGGCCGACATCACAAACTCAAATATTTCGGAAATATTGCGAATATATTTGTACGCAGTTGCAACGGGTGAGGTGCGAACATTAAACGGTGTGACATTGGATCGTGAGCGTGAACGTCGCATAGCCGATCACCATCAGCTCGATTCGGAGCAAATGCTCACATCGGGCAAAAATCAAGCATACTATGAGGCATTACAACAAAATCAAACCTGGAAATTGTCAGAGTGTTTGAAAGACAAGCCATTTGTATCACTGAATCCAACCGTGAAAACGGAAATTTTGGCGCATCTTTGTAATGATTTGCTTATGAACAAAGCGGTTGCACGTCAAATTGAAACTAGCTTGGAATCGGTGGCGCAACACAAACGAGATCGTTACGCAATCGAAAATCGTGTACGTAAATACAAGCATTTGCATTCCCGTAAAGTGCGAATGGAACAATTTGAGAAGCAACAACAAATTGCACGACAAATTCAAGCACAGCAATTGGCTCAAGCACAGGCGGCAGCCGCATCAGCAAACACATCAAATACCGAACAAAGTACCGATGGTGATTGCGAATCGAATGCAAAAACCCCAAACATCGACAATGCTAATGACAGTGTTGAAAAAATGGAAACAAACTTATTGAAAACACCATCAAATCTAACAAACGCATCAAGCGTCGACAATTTAACAGATGTGTCTGATCTGAATAATCACAAAGAAGACTCAATGCAAAGTACTGATGTGGCGATGAATGCAAAATCAGCCGATGACAACGATGCCAAAACAAAATTGGACGAGTCCAAATTAACGGTCAAAATCGATGCAACACCCAATTCCGATACGAGCAGAGTGTTGAATAACGGTGCCACAACGCCGGACATAAGCAACTTGTTGAATAAGAAAATCAATAGTCGCGATGTAACGGCTGATGGATCAACCACCGACGGCGGTAATTTAGATGAAGAAATTAGTGATATTGAAAGTGAAGGAACGTGTTTAGAAGAAGATGAAGATTCACGCATGACAGCCGATGAAGTGCACAAGAAATTGGAGAAAATCTTAAAATCGGCCAATCAAAATAAAACGCTCATCGAACAAAGCAGCAATTCGTTACGAGCCACCTGCTACGGTCAAGATCGATTCTGGAGAAGATATTGGCATTTACCGAGAGCCGGCGGTGTTTTTGTTGAAGGACTCGAGGCGGCTCAACCAGAACTGTTAAAGTATATGGCTAAACTGGAAGAGTTGTATAAGGCTGAAAAGACGAAAAATAAAGCAAATGTCAACGATACCGAAAATAAGAAACGTGGCAAAAAGAGAAAACTATCACTTACAGATGAACCAGATTTAATGCCAGTACCCAAAAGTAATGATCCCGAAACCAGATCATCGGTTGATTCGATAAATATTGATTCGACAAATCCGACCAAACCAGTGGATAACGAATCGGTGAACATAGTAGAAGATAAAGTACAATCGATGGAAATAAACAGTAGTCCAAAAGCGACCGACAATGGTTGCGAAACAAATAACGAAATAACCGACAATTACAACGATAACACAGCCACCACTAAGGAATTGGATGCAGCAAAAGAAGATGCTGATATGCTAGATATCGAGGATTCAATTCCAAAAGCAATTCTTGTACAAAAAGCAAACGAAATCGATAAAGCCGTTGGCACTGACATATCGGCGACAACGGGCACTCAGCTAAATAATCACAGCGACGAAAATGAAGGCGAGAAAGCTTCCGACGATGCAAATGATACGCACAACGCAGACTGTGATAACAAACCAAATGCGGAAAATGGAAGCGTTGCCAATGCTGACATTTTCGAGCGAAAACCTGTAGTTCCAATCATTGATCTCGATGCAAATGAAAATACATCCGGTGATGAAAATGTTGTCGCAAATGCGATCGATGCACAAATCAAAACCGAACCAATGGACGGCATCGCTCAAATCAAAATGGAAATCAAAAACGAATACACCGAAGAAGAGTTAATGAAACGCGAAGAACCCGAAATACTCGAAAAATGGTTTTCAATTGCAAATCGTGAAATTCAATTGAGCTCAATGGAAACACAAATTCCACTGTCCGCGCAAGCTGAATACTCAAATATCACATGCGAAATGATTTTATCATGTCAAGGAAATCGATGGGATATCGGAAATAATGCTTATTACTTTCACGTTCCAGTTGAAAACTCAACAAATCTACAAATCAATCGAGAATCAGTGTTGACACAGTCCGGAATTGATGACAAACTGATTGAAAAAGTGATGATCGGCCAGTATACGATACCATCGAAAAATGAATCAGTTGAGTCAGAGGCAAACGAGGACATTGACGATGATGAAAAAAAGTGTGTTGAACTTATGAAATTAGAGCCTGAAACGCAGCCATTTCAATTACCATCATTTTTGAATACGTCATTTGCAAATCTAAGCGCATTTGTACAATGTGATAACACATGCCCATTACAAATGACGCCCGACGAACAGAAAATGCTGGAAGATATCAAAGTGAATGGTTTTCCAAAACATCTCGAATCGAATTATGTGCCAAAGGAATTGTGTCACGGTTGGTGGAAAATTAACGATTTGGATACATTAAATGAAGTGATTCAGTGTTTGCATGTGAAAGGAGTGCGCGAACGGGAGCTTCGCATCAATTTGTTGCAAGCATTAACTGAAAATATTGACCTATCAACACCATGTCATGTGGCTAATTTGCGATCACCACCACCGGCTAAAGGATACATTGATCCCGAACCGATGAATGCGTGGAATCCGCAAATTGCTCGACGTGTCGAACTCTCATTACTCGATCAAGTCGAATCGCTTGAGGATAAAATTGCCGGTGCATCAATGCAAGTGAAAGGATGGACAGCACCAGCACGGGATCCAGAAAGTGAAAATGAATTAGATCTCATTACCGGCATCACCATGATTCGTGATCGTATCTTGAGTCTTGAAGCAGCGATTGAAAGACGCTATTTGAAACCACCGTTAGGTACAAGCACAGCCGATGCAAATATTGCCGCAATTACCACACAAAGTGTCACATTGTCAAGCACTCGCGAAATCACGACGACCATTCAAACAACGGGCACAACAACAACTGTAATCAGTTCGAGCAGCAGTATTGCACAGAACAATAATGACGATCAAAATTCAAGCTCCGGATCTGTGGCCACCACTCCAGAACGTGAAGTATTACCAAAAGGTATGAATCATTTTCCACATTTTGTAGTAATCGAATGTAAAAATTAAAAAAAAAAAACATTTCGTTCGGGGCTTCAATTAACAATTTAGGTTTGAATTCGTGGCGCGAAGCTGTCTCTCGATCACATACAGCCGCTCAATTGGCAATGGCACTTTACGTATTGGAATCATGCGTAGCGTGGGACAAAAGCATAATGAAAGCTGTAAGTTTCAAAATGCTATAACTATACCTTCAGATGCAGCGGAAAACGTGGAAACCCCTTATTTATTTCTTTTATTTTCTCTTACATACTTTCGGCTTTGAATATTGTTTTCTCGTTTTTAATTTATGCAAGAGAGCTCGTATCGTACATGGAGAAAATGATTTTCAAATGTTCGTGTGTGTTTATGGCTTTCCACGATTTTCCCCGAATCCGTTTTAAATCTCATCTGTTAGGTTTAGCTATAACGCTCATTCGCATTATAAAAACATCATAAACAAACAGAAAATGAAAATACCATCACAATTCAAACGCAATTTCATTTTGATCGTTTAATTTGCATAGTTCTTGTTTGTTATGTAATTTACTCTGAAAAACAAAGAAGAAACAAACAGTTGTAAGGTTTGAGAAACGGGGATGATGAGAATAAATTCTTCATTTTATTTTGAAGATTTTCCTGAAGATAAATCACAATTGTGAAAATCAGCAAAATATATTTGAAGTGGGAAGAGATGAATTTTTGTACCTTTTTGGAATACATTTCGTGAGCAAAGCTTCTTTGGAATGGTGTAACAACTTTATTGCGCTTAATTGCTTATTAAATTGCTTATTGTGGAATAGAACGCGATATATCTCGTATGATCCATTTCATGGTTTATTGCTGTTAAAAGCACCACGATGTGAACTCCAAAATGGAACAAAAACATTGTAACGAAAATTATTCTCAGCATGTGGCATTTTTCGGAAGCTTGCAACATTTTCTTCAGAGTAGTTTAAATAATTTTTATCCTTTTGGGGATCACTTTAAATTTAATACTAATTTTATTTACTTTATTTGATTACTAACACGTTCGTTTTTTTTTCTTTCCTTCTTTATGTGTATATAATTTTGTTAACTTCTTCCAAAAACAAACAAACACAAAACAAAACCAAAATCTAAACAAAAAAACAAAAAACAAAAATGAAACTGAACTTTGTGATCGGTATATTAGGCCAATATGAATGGGTCTAATCAAACAGAACGTTACTTACAGAATTGCCAGTTTTGTTCTTCCGGCGAAAATGAAGATAAACTATTGCTGTGTGACGGATGCGATAAAGGCTATCACACGTATTGCTTTAAACCAAAAATGGTCAACATTCCCGACGGTGATTGGTAGGATCATGTTTCTATTCAATATAAAAAATAAAATGTTCCATTAAATTTTGCATCAAAAACGCTAATTGAAAATTGTTCTCTGTTTGTTTGGCTTTCTTTTCCGTATTTATTCGTATTAGGTATTGTTATGAATGTGTAAATAAAGCAACAAATGAACGTAAATGTATTGTGTGCGGAGGTCATCGACCGCCGCCACTTGGAAAAATGGTTTATTGTGAATTGTGCCCGCGTGCCTACCATCACGATTGCTATATACCGCCATTGATCAAAGTGCCACGGGGTAAATGGTATTGTCATGGATGCGCTTCAAAGGCACCGCCGCCAAAACGTCGTGGACCATCGAAAAAAGCGAAGGAAAAGGATTCAAAAGACAAGGATTCAAAAGATGGCAAGGAGCCAAAGGAATCGAAGAAAGATAAAAAATCGAATGAAGCGCATCGAGAAAACTCAAATTCGAATAGCGCATCGGAGACAAATTCCATTGATCAAACCATTCATAATTCAAATGTACCTGCTGCCACTTCGCATACAACAAAAACAAATGAAACCATGCAGTCGAGGTATGTATCTCGAATAAGTGACCGAAATCTGGCCGAAATTTAAAACGATCTTGATTGATATTCTACTACGAATCGATTCTAGTCCAAAAAGTTCAGCAGCAGCTTCCACCTCATTCGACGATCAAAATCAATCTGAAACAATGAATAGCACTGAAAATACCGTATTTGATAATTCCATGAATGATTCACAAGCCCAAGATTCATCACGGGTTGCATCGCCGGATCGTACATCCACACCGGCACCAAGTATTGATTCAAATGATCAAAATCATTGCATTAATGAGCTACGACCGCCACCAACCCCATCGCCCGGACGGGAAAAATCTCCGTCATGGGAACAACAGCAAATAAATACAAATTCCAATTCGGCCGATAACGATGCAATCGATTCAGAGGTAATCTATTCGGCTACCATTTAATTTTCGATTTCTCTTATTACTGTTTTATTTATTTATTTATTTTAAATAAATTTCAGAGAAATTTCAACGAATCCGCAGTTCGTTCAAATGACGGCAGCAAACATCACAAACAAGATAAGAAAGAACGCAGTGCTGCAAAAAAGCTTATGAAAGAACTGGCATCGTGTAAAACAATGTTAGAAGAGATGGAAGTAAGTGATAAAAAAAATAAGCAGTAAACACTGAGATATTGTGAATTTTCCGTACGACCAGACTTTTGAAAAGTCTGTGCATTTTCGCTCAAACAACATTCTCTTTCATTTCCATCTTTCTGTTTGTGCTTCGTTGTGCAAATCTGTGCGCTCATTCAACCCGCTTGTTGATATCTTTAACCGACTAGACTGTTGGTTTTAAACTTTTGCTCGTACAGTGAGTGAAGAGTATTAGCGAAGCATGGAAAAATAATTGTAGAAATTTAAATGAACATTTACCCAGTTTCAGTTTTATATACGTATAACAAATATGTAACGATGCATTTTCACCCATTTTACAGTTGCACGAAGAGTCATGGCCATTTTTACTGCCAGTCAATACAAAACAGTTTCCCACTTACAAAAAAATCATCAAGCATCCCATGGATCTGTCAACAATCAAAAAACGAATCCAAGACATGCAGTAAGTTCAGCAAAACGCCGTTTTTATTTTCCCAAAAAAAATGCCAATTAATTTTATTTTCTCCGAATTAAATTTCTAGTTATAAATCACGAGACGATTTCATAGCCGACGTCCGTTTAATATTTGATAATTGTGAAATGTTTAATGAAGACGATTCGCCGGTTGGAAAAGCAGGTCATTCACTTCGTAAATTTTTCGAGGCACGTTGGGTCGACTTGACCGACAAACATTCATGATACCATTTATTTCAAACAAAGTATCCAAACAACAACTAGCTGCTGAATAATAAAACAAATATATATGCATCTCATACGAAAAATTGTGCCGTCGTGCATCAATTGTGTTGACGATCGAAAAATTGACAATTTTATGTAAAAAGTGAATAAATTAAATTGTAATTATTTTATTGATATAAATTATTATTTTTTTTTGTTACATAAATTTCCTTTTTTTTGCGACGATAAACAAACAAACAATCGAACGAAAAAAAAAGTATACAAAAATTGTACTTAACTTGCTATGTCTGAGAGTAGAAAATGTCTGTAAACTCAATTGAAATAAGCCTACCTGGTCTGCTTTGATTATCGTCGTGCTGGCTAAAACTACTTAAGAAAAATTAAGAAAAAAAAAACAATCAAATACGAAAAAAATGAGAATTAAATGTGTCACAATATTGTGTTGCTCATTTTTTTCTTCATTTAAATCACATTTTGACAGCTGTAAAGAAATTAGTTTTGTGTTCAAATTTAAGCGGTTGATTTTAAGTTAGAATTTTGTTTATTGTGAATGATTTGATTTAAATATGTTTGATTTTTATATGAATCTAATAAAAAAATATATCTAATTATGGAGCATAGACATGCAGCAAAAAAAATTAAAGAATGTCTTAAACACAAATTAAAGATAAAACAACAGTATTATTCCAGAGTAGAAATAGAAAGCGCGCAATATGTTGACTAAACGTTGGAAGAGAGAAAACTATTCAGCACGAAAAAACAAACGAAATCAAATTGAAATATTACCAATTTGAGTTGAGCTATGTCTCAATAGTTGACCAGAGAACTAAAAATGCCATGACATTTTTTTTGAGATAAAAGATTAAATGTTTTCTCTTCTGTTTTTCTGTTTTGTAACGCGAAATATTTGCCGTGTAACGTGTAACAGATGACTACAGGGTGTATTTTTGCAGTTTAATTTTTAAATGAAGAGCAAAGAAACAATTTGAAAAGATAAAATATTAAATAAAATTAAATAAAAAAAAAATATGTTCGCCTCGAAAAATATTTTTTTTTTTTTAGTCATGCGATCATATTATGTAGGCTTATGGAATTATTAAAGAACAAAAATTAGAATGAGATTCATTCCCAATTCAAAATTTATGTAAATGTCGTGCAAAATATTTCAAAATGAGGTATAACGTGTGTAGCCAATTGGCGTTCACATCAAGCATAGGTTATATTTTCAATAACATGATGAATATTTAGTAATTTAACAAATTAGAGTTCATGCATAGACCGAAACAAACACATATAAATAGTGTATCAAACAAACATCATATGATTATAGTATAATATTTTTATTTTAGTAACAAATGAAAAAAAAACACACACAAAGCATAATAACTGCCTAAATGACGAACAAATGATATAATATGATACAATTACGAATGATTAGCGCAAGCAGAAAAATAAACACAAGTACACCGTTACATTGCAGTAAATTAAATTAAATAAAAAAAAAACAACCCACAACAACAAACAAAAACTTAGAAAAAGAATGAACAATTCTTAAAATCTAGATGATAGACGAAAATTTCTATGACCATAGATTAAACGGCTTTTTGTATATATCAACAAAATCATTAAGAAAAACAAATAAACTAATAAAACAAATTCATTTAACTTTTATGATACAAAAAAAATGCATTACATAATGTATAGTTTTTTTTTGTTGTCGATGAAATGAGTATGAAATCCCTTGCTAATTTTTCTTTCAAATGTATGTAAATATTTTTTTTTGCATAGCTGACCATGATCAGTGAGGAAATGGGATGTGGTTTTGTTTTTGAAAGTCTTCGAAAACCACAAGAGGGAGGGAGAAAGCAATTCTTAAACAAATTGATTAACAAAGCTTGTATTTATTTTTGTACAGTAACCATAGATGTAATCTCTCGTTGTCGGATAATGACGATGGCTATGATTATATTATATTGATTCGATTTATTGGGCCATTTGCTGCAACTCCACTCTATGATTTTCACAGAATAAACAGAAAAAAAAATTGTATAAATTTCGAACAGCTTAAATAATTAACAGTTTAAGCTTATAAAATACGTATGGCATACAATAAATGTCATATTCAACGGCACTGAATGATGGTAAACATTTTATGTCAATGTTTATAAAATTGGGGATGCATAAAAGAAAATCAACAATGATAATAATTATTATATCGTGCTATAAATACTATTTAAATGAAAAATCGAGAGAACAAAAAAAAAAAAAAAACAACTTAACAAATACTATATATCATGAATTAACATGAAAAATACAAAATTCATTTGGATGAAAGCCGAAAACATGTGGTAATAATCTTTTTTTTTTTGGTAGATATGAAAATATCTTGAGCTCGAATAACGTCCGTTGCGTTTATGTATTGTTTTAGCGACGATTCAATGATCAATTCACATAATTATATTGTGCTGAAGTAGCTCGTGCGTGTCAGTGTATACGGATTTTTTTTAATTTGTTTGTTAACTTAACTCAGTATACTTCCTTCAAGAACAAGATCTAACGATATTTTTTCTAGTTTTGTCTCATTTGCAAAACAAAACGTAGCAAAGGCAAATATTTATGGCCTGTCAATTGAAAATATTTATTTGAAATGAATTTAAAATGTAACATGCCAATGAGATTTGGCCTGAAACAAAATGTACGACAAAAATAAAAATAAAATTTGATTCTCTAACTAACTGTTGACTACATGAAGAAAAAAACTGATTAAAAATTATATTGAAAATATATAAATAATGAGAAAATTCCATTTGCTGTGGAATTTCGTAGCAAAACTATACATGTATGCGCATTGCATTCGATTGCAACTCCAAAATTCAACTAAACGAATAAGTGAAGAATAATTGTAAATCACTTATCAATTTATTTAAGGAATAAATGGATAAATGCAATTTTGTTTGGTATTCATTTATTTCAGAAAAATTCTCGTTGAATAAATGACACCTTAATGCCCATGGAAGAAATGAAAAAAATGGATTTGCAGGTAACAAAATCACCCTTTTTGAGGCACTGATTCAATTGAATAAAACATCCGAAAGATGGCGTCACTTTGTTCTTTTTCCAGAACAATGATGTCACAGATACATGAAAATAACAACAAAGTAGTTAGGTTACGTTGAACAAAAACAAAATATCGACGGTGTAAAAATCTAAACAACTTAGAATTTGGACAAAAGATTGCAAGTTTTAAATTAATCACAATTCATCACCAAAAAATTTGAACATTTTTTCCTCTTTATGTTATAGGCTAAATTATTTGGTCAATTTCTGCCCAACTACAATACAAATTATGGCTGATTATTTACAAGATGAACATTTTGATTTGTATCAGGAGATTGCACGATCGGCATTTGCCGATATGTTGCATGACCATGAACGAAATGAGAAATACTTTCGTGCACTGAAAAAAGCAATCGATAAAATGCATGAATGCAATTTGCCTGCAAATGTTCTCGACATTGGCACAGGCACCGGGCTTCTTTCAATGATGGCGGTCAAATGTGGTGCCGATTCGGTAATTGCCTGCGAAGCATTTCGACCGATGGCCGATTGTGCCGAACAAATTATGGAAGCCAACGGTATGGCCGGACAAATTCAGCTAATAAAAAAACGTTCGACCAGCATATTTGAAGAAGATTTACCGCAGCGTGCAAACATTTTAGTTACCGAAGTATTTGACACCGAATTAATTGGCGAAGGTGCTATTGAAACGTTTAATCATGCCCATCGACATTTGCTGGAAAAAAATTGTATTGTTGTACCAGATTCAGCGACAATATTTGTACAAGTGGTCGAATCACCATTGGCATGGGCATGGAATATGCCAAAACTAATAGCCGATCTGGACGGTGACGTTCTTATTCGTACACCATGTGAGGTACGTTATTGTTTTGTTTTCGTTTTAAATTCAAGAATGCATGAAAAATTGTTTTAATTTTCCAGATTAACGATTGCAAAGGAACATCTGAACTACATGATATTCAATTAAATCAGTTTCCAACGCATCAATTTCGTGCAGTATCCGAGCCAACTGCTGTATTTGAGTTTGATTGGTCGGGAAAGGATGTGATTTCAAAAAATGAATTCCGTACGGTGACCGTTGAAGCGAAACAAAATGGTACAGCGCAGATATTTTTCATGTGGTGGGTACTAAAAATGGACCAAGATGGTGATGTGCGTATAAGTTGTGCACCACATTGGGCCCATGAAGATTTTTATCGCTTGAAAAATGAACGACCATCATTCCAACCGGAGCAAAATATCATTCCATGGCGTGATCATTGGATGCAAGCACTATATTATGCACCGAAACCGGTTCAAATTGGAATCGGCGAACAATTGCATTTGAAATGTAATCGTGATGAATTTTCATTGTGGTTTGACCTAAGTCGTGATGGTAACGAAGACATTGAATCACCTGAAATTATTCAAGATCGTCCAATGTGCACGTGTGGCTTCCATTTGGCACTGTCTCGCACCCGAATTGGTCAAATAAATCAAAGTTTGAGAGTGAAAAAATTTCAAAAGATTTTCGATAAAGCACTTGACCAAAATTCAACGGTGTTATTTGTTAGTGAGGGTTCTTTACTTGGTCCAATGATTGCTGCACTAAAAGTAAATCGTGTTTATGTTTTGGATTCGAATAAATATACACGTCGTGTAGTACAAAAATACATTGACTTCAATCAGCTCAGCAATATCGAAGTTCTCGAAGAAGTCAATGAATCCAACGTTGATTGGCAACTAATCACGCATATAATTGGTGAACCAAGTTTTGTTACATCAATTCTGCCCTGGGATAACTTCTACTTTGCCGAAATTCTGAAAAAAGTTCGACAATTTTGTAATGAAAACGTGCAAATTTTACCACAATCGGCAACCATTCGTGCGGTACCAGTGGAATTTTTGGATTTACATAAGATTTTTGCACCGTTTGATATTTGTGAATCGTTCGATTTGACCATATTCGATCGTATCATTGAGGTACTTTAAAAATTTAAAGTTTACATTAAGAACGAATTAAATGGAACTCATTTTTGTCAATGGCTTAATTTCAGGAATCATCGGAATTCGCTGATGACATCGTCGAGGCTCAACCACTGTGGGAGTATCCAAGCAAAGCGCTTGGAATGGCTAAAACAGTATTTTCCATAGATTTTGTCAACGCAACAACAAGTTCGGAACACAATGAATTAGAAATTAGAACGTGAGTATTAATATAGAACCAGTTGTACAATGGTACAATCAGATAAACAAAATCAAGGTCGAAAACAATATAAACATTGTTTCTTTATTTTGGTAATTTTTTTAAAGTGCTGGCTCATGTAATGGAATCGCATTTTGGACGGAATATAATTTTTTCAATACACAAGCTTCGATTGTCAGCACTGGCCCATTGAATGACTTAGCATTGAACCATTTTATCGATTGGGATATGTATACGCGACAAGGTGTACATTTATTTTGGAAACCAATCGAATCAAATGGAGACGAAGTGACGACGGTCGCTTGTCGCGTTCGAAACGATGAAAATGTTATCTATTTCAACTTTACGTAAATTTAAGTTAACGTTAAACTTAAGTTTCATTCAACTGTAATATTATATTGCTGCTTTAATTGTTGGCATTTAACAACTAAGAGAAACAGCGTACAAGTGCTTCTTATTTTATTTTAAATGAAACTCTTTTTTTTTTGTTCAGAGCTAAGCTCATTTTCCATAAATCAAAAGTATAATTATTCAACAAAATTAAATTACTCTAAGCTTATTATTCTTGGAATAAATTACCAAAAAAATAAAATGAATAAAAGTTTAGCCAAAATGAAATGATGTTTTGTTTGTGAGACTCATAAATTTACGTCTGAATAAAGCGGCTATTAAACTTAGCTAATATAAGAAAAGAAAAACCGGTTTTATGACCAAGTTGTTTAAATGTTGCGATTTAATGCGCATCTCTGCGCATTGTGCGATACATTAATAGCGTCTGAATGGATGGCATGCAACTACACTATGCTCAAGAATAGAAATGTTTTGGAAGAGGACTGTGAATAATAAACAAAGTCATATGAAATAAAATACGGAATCGTTGCTACTGTGGTGTTTTTTCAACGAAGGAAAACTGGCAAAAAGTGAAATTGATCGTGTTTTTTTCAACACGACGATAACGAGAAGTAACCAGTGATTTTTCTCACACAATAATGTACGAAAAACATGAAGACAAATACCGTACTGCATTAGACATTTGAAAAAATGATAGTGCACAATGACGACGACGACGACGACGACGACGGCAACGGCGTATACAGTACATAATGTACATATATATTTTTTTCGAGTATGTTTCCACTTTCCTCGATGATTTTAGATCGTTGTTCATCGGTAAATCGTGATTACAATGGTCAAAGCTCAGTCACATACTGGTTTTACTCGCTTTCAATCCCTCTTAGCGTTTTGTCTTATACAATGGCAATTCTCAATTTCAATTTCACCATCTCACTTAATGCCTTTTGCATCGCACCGAATTTGAATTCAAGATCATTGCTTCGTGTAATTGCACTTCGAGCATCGGAATCGGTTAGAGAGTGAGAGCATAACATTTGATAAGCAAATTTAACGATTTTCTTCTTCTTCCATTTATCACATCAGTTAAAATCATCTTGTTGGCATCGATAATTATAGGCGTTGTGGTTTTAAAGTATCAATTTAATATACATTGATTGATTGATAGTGCTAACGAAATTGATGATAAGAAAGAGTGAGCGAGAGAGAGAGAGACGTGGATAGTAAAGGGCGAAGAAAGTGTAAAACATAAATACAAAAAAATAATTAACGGAAAATCGTATTTTAAATTGATAGTGCTGTGTAATTGGTGGTGATTAATTCATAAATATGCTCATTAACATTGTCATAATTGGCTTGTTTCAATCAACATTAGCCCTCTTTCATCATCATCACAAAGCGCCAACTCACACAAAAGTATGTATATGCAAAATGTTTGAAAAAAATTCGAAAACGATTGAATTACACGTGCTAAACAATTTATTAAGTGATAATTGATAGTAAATGAAAGGGAATTGTGATGATGTTTTTCTATCACATGATGATTTGTATTTTTATTATAGATTCACGTCTGTTTGACGCCTCCGACAACTCTGCAAAAGGTAATGTTAAAGTTCTCTTTAAATAAACACTGTAAATTAACATGATGATGTTTAACTATGTCAAAAGGTGCAAAAGCATATAATTGAGTGTCAGCATGAGGTAAAAACAAATATTTTCAATGAAGCGTTCAGTCTGATAAACGATCACGCTTTTCATCATCCAGACGATCATGCCACAATCGATGTTCATGGACATGATGAATTTGCACATCGGAATTTTACACTCACCGAACAGGAGATTTTGCATTTTTTCGAAAATCATGAATATCCAAAGGGGGTTGCTGGTGAAATAAGTGCAGGCAGTGGTCCATTGGGATCGTCGCTTGAGGTATCGCATGAAAAACAACCTGTATCACATGAAGAATCGCATGAACAACATAATCAACCGGCACTTGATCCGATTGTACATCAACCGGTGCATGATCCAATTCATCAATATCCACAACACCATCCACATTTACAACCACATCCAAATCAATATCATCGAAATCCGCATCCATATGGTTGGCAACGACCACTTCCAATTGAAAATTTTTACAAGAAAACAGAGGACGCTCAATTCAATCCCAATAGACCGGAACAAGCACAACATTTCCTGAGAGCATTGACGCCTAAACGAAATCCATACGCATATTTTAATGTTAATGATGGTGAACAAGTGAAAATAAACGATCGACCTCGTCGATCCATTCATGAATTGGAACTTCATTCTGAATCACATTCAGGTGAAATACCACATCCAACGACTGCTTCGTTCAAAGACAAGCGCATAGCTGGTGTATGTATAATTTTCTCATTTCATACGAAATTTTCAAGCATAATTATTAACAATTTGGATTAATTGCGATTTCTAATTAGTGTTTGATGCATTGCTTATATGAAAAAGATCATGCTATCGATCCACATACTGGTTATCCAACCTTAGACGGTTTGGTGAACTTTTATTCAGATGGTGTGCACGAGCATGGTTTTTTCATGACAACATTGCGTTCGGTCGACTATTGTTTGAAAGGGGCTTCACATAAATATCACATAAATCGTCATCATAAGCCAAGTAAGCGTGAAATTTTGGCACAATCGCAAACACTTTGTTTCCTCATTTTGCGCATATGCAATTTTATTGCCGAAATGTAATGTATTATTTTATTGGGTTTATTGTAGGTGCGGAAATTAGTTGTGACCTAGCTTTTGACATTTTCGATTGTGTTAGCGATAAAATTACTGAATATTGTAGTAAGCATCATTATCACGATGACGAACACCATTATCATCACGACGAGCATTTACATAAAGGACACCACCTACCGCATTCTGATGAGCACGCAATCGATCCACATCCACATCATCACAATGGACAATTTGACGACGAATATCATGACGATGAAGCGTATTACTATTATAATAAATAATTTATTATTAAAACAATAGCAAAATAATCAGCCGACCATATTTTACTTGAGTCATTTAATTTATTGGCGTTTTATTAAATTTTTATTCATTTTTTCTTGTATTTTTTTTCTCTTTAAATAAAATTGTATAAAGTTTTTTTACGCTTGGGGAAAAATTTGCTTTTTTTTTCTTTTGTATAAGTTATACGTAAAACATGAAAGAAAATCAATTTGTATTCAATTACTTGTACGTAAATAATTAAAAAAAATTGCTTCATTAAATCTAAAAATGAATAAATTGTTCTGTTGTCATCATTTTCTTTTCGTAAGAAAAATGTGTTCACTTTGTTCTTATTTTCTGCGAAAATAATAAAGAAAAATTATCTCCAAAAAAATTAATTTTCTTCCTAACTCAAATTCTCATTTCAAAATGGATTCTTTTCCTTTCCTTTGACCAATGCTTTAGAAAACGATCATTCTTATAGCTAACAAATATGGCATCGGTATTATAATAAGAATGAATGATTACAGAAATGTGACATGTAAAATACGAGTCCAGCAACCAATTTTGTTCGTTTTAAACTGTACAGCAAAATGGCTTAACGCGAAAACATATACACACAAACACACACACATCATCATTTAATTGTAATAATATGTGGCCGAAGTCAATATATTCTAAATTGACTCGGAATGAGTTTTTCTTTTCATTCTATTGGCTTTTATTCATCTGATTTTGAATTTTGGGAAGCACACACGAAAGTTCGATTCGATTTGTTCGAATCATGTATCATAATATAAAATTTTCTTTAATACTTTTTCACCGATAGGCAATTTATCTGATCGCGAGAGCCAAGAAGACGTCACGTTTCTACTAGTTTGTGTGTGCGTTACAAAAAAAAGTTGGCCCTAATAAGGTTGGTTTCAAAGAAATTGAAGCGAAAACTAACGAAATGCCTAATGTGAGATCAATGTAAAACTAATACCATAAAAATCTGGAAATGTTTAGCTAGCTCGTTGGAGGTGTTTCGTTGATTCAATATTTGGGGAAAACATTCTTTGGTAAATGCATTGTTTTGTTCTCTTTGCCTTTTTAATTTTTTTCATGGTTTTTTTATGGACACAACAAGCATTTTGTCCCTGGGCTAGCCAAATAATCGAAAAACGAGAAAAATAAATGTAAGGAAAATGCAATGTGAATATAAACAAATAAAACCAAACTGACTGATTATTGGTTCGAATACGCATCGGTTCACATAGTTGTTTCGTATACGAAGCACATATCAAATGTTTGTGAGGAGAACAAACGATCGAACGCGCGTCAATCTCGATTTTTTATCAAATGTTATACATATTGCTATCGCACCAAGTTATAGAAAGAGCAAATTGAATTCTCTTAATTTTATATTATGTTGCTTTTACCAATGTCTAAATTTCTAATTTCACTTTCTAAATTGGCAGTGTCTTTGTTCTGTATGAGCTTATTGTTATCTTTGCTACTGTGTAGTATTTTACGTGTTATATTGTTACTTTGTTGCTGTTGCTGTTGCATTGCGTGCTGATCTTTTTGGTTTGTGTCGTTTTTCTCTTTGTGCGCGTTTGTTTTATCGTGGCCGCTCGATTTGGTTTTGATGAATGGAAATATATTATGGCAACTATTTGGAAGAAAACCGCTAAGCTTATCCTTTTTCGTCAATTGTCGATCGTTTTTATTGGAATCACTGTCGGTCGTTGTTGTTATCATTGGCATCGTTGTCGTCGTCGTCGTCGGATTGATCGGTGGCGGTGGCGACGTCAAAGGCTTTGTCACACGAATATATTTATTTTCAATTGTATTACGATTATTGCTCGCCATCTCTGGACTATTATCGAGCGCATTGAGACTATTCTGATGACTGTCGAGTATTTGTTGCGGAATATTATTGTCAACTTCGTCCACATTTAAGACACTGTTTGATTGATGTTTTGACTGTTCTTTGCCATTCTTAATCGGTTGAATTGGCTGTTGTTGCTGTTGTGGTTCACTGACTCGTTCCAATTGATATGGTACATCGGCCGGCCCAAAATCGATGTAAACCTGATTCTGCGAGGCTAAATAGCTTTCATATGATGGAGCCGAATCTTTTTCACGCAATCTTTTCGCTTGAACTGCACCCCAGATATCTTTTAATTCGCCCGACAAATCACGATCCTTCAGAATCTCCGCATCTCTAAAAAAAGACATTTGCTTAAACTCATTTTCATCACTTTTTCCCACGAAATAAATACAAGACAGAAATTGTTGGCTAATTTACCTGGATAATTTGAGTCCGGGATTCATTGCTTCAACAAAATCACACATTAATTTGACGAGTGCATATCTCTCCTGTAAGACAAAAAATAAAACAATTATATTCTCCGCTCCGTAATATGTGTGGGTGTTTATGTGGACCTTTTCTAAGTGAGTAAATACCTCAGCATCTGAGCATTTTCTTCCAACATGTTTTAAAATGGCTGGATTTGCCATGACGGCAAACATTAATGGTGGTGATTTTAGACTACCTGACACAACCTAATTAATTAAGTACAAAAAACACAATTAAAATCTGCTCAAATTGCATTTTCAACATCTTGTTGAGAGGTGAAAAAAACGAATATTGTTATTATTATGTCGTATAAGTGTTTTTTCTTAATAAATGAGAAATTATATTGAAGCTGAATGCTTCGATGACTTTTAAATCATGTAAATTAGCAAAATCCAATGGCCAACACATTGAAAGCTGAAAAACAGGAAAGAGCTCGCTCAGTGTCGCATTGGAGTTAAAATTATTGTATGACGTCAATAGAATCGTAAACGAAAGGAAAAGTCCGTTTAAACAACACGGCGCAAAATGTGTGTTTTTTATATGAAATTTAGTAGAACGTGCTGTGCTGTGTTGATGTGCCAAATGTAATTGAGGATAATTTGATTAACATATTGCAAAATAGATAAATAACTTGTGTGCGCGACTTTAACTAGCTTCAGAATAGTTTGAAAAAAATGAAGAGAAACGCACATCAGAGAATTAAATTGTGTAAACAGGCAAATACTTACTTTCATGCCGCCCCATAATGGTATTGGATCAGTTTCAGAGTGTGGCATACAGATTTTCGTCCAGCTCATTACGTTTATGAAGAGCTCTTGACCATCATCTGTACGGTCTTTGATGCACATATGCGGTTGCGGAGGGTTTTTAAAGTGACGAAATGCACGTGAATTGCGAATTAGATAAGGCGGATCGTGGTATGGAATTTGGGGCTGTTGTTGCTGCTGCTGCATTTGTTGTTTTTGTTGTTGCGGCTGTTGTTGCATTTGTAATTCTTGTTGATGGTTTGTTACGTTGTTGTTTTGCATACTAATCGTTTCATCTGATTCAGTCATAAGACTAGCGGTTGCCGAATTATAACTTGGTAGATTCGACATTTTTTTAAATCTCTCATGCAAATTGAAGCAATTCACTTACGTCACAATCGACTTGTCGATTGGCTCCAATTTTCGCACCTCAATCTTTTTTCTTTCAATCACGTACGCAAAATACTACTGATTTAATTCACACGTTTTCGTAATTCATATTTTCAATTGAATTTACTCGCTATCGTTCTTGCAGTTGAATGCACTTTTGGTTTGAATTTGTTGTTTTTTTTACCTTCAAATTAATCGACGCTCAGCGTAAAACAACAATAAAAGGAGAAACACAAAAAAAATATCCAAAATAAATGCTATTCGATGATAAATTGTCTTTGTCTACGGACTGTTGAAATCAAACACTCCAAATTTACGTGTATATATACACACACACCCACCGCACCGTTGATAAAAGTGAAGAGAGAATACGAGTAGCCTCTGGAAGGAAAATAAACCGACATCTAAAATATCGATAAATTCACTATTTTTCAGCGATTTCAAATGTTTGTTCTATTTTCACACTCGCAATTTCAGCATGGAGACTATTGAATTTTAGTTTTTATGTTTATTTGTTTCTTTTTTCTTCTCAATTCTGTTTTCTGTTCGCGTTAAATTCTACACCACACTGATTCTAGTCAATGCGTTGTGTGTTGTTTTTTTTTCTGTGTCGGTAATAAATCCCTATTTATTTCACTATGATGAAGGAGTTGAAAAAAAAAATGTTGAAAACAGAAAACGAACGAAACAATTATGTAGCCAAAACACACACGAGAAAAGGCAAACTGAACAGTAGTTAAAAAACAACAAACCCAACCAGAATACCAAAGTAAATAAATAAAAGCCAATGTCATGAATGATGTTGATGTACACACAACACATTCATACAAAACTCACGGTTGCGTATATAACAAAAAATAAATAAATAAAATGTATGCTAGAGAGAGCGAGAAAGAAGCCCCAACCTCAGACTAACATCGAGCAATCAAAATCGAAACTGTCGGGACGAAGCGAGATGACGCGCGATGGCGTGAAAGAGCTGGATAATGCGCGAAAGCAGGGGAAACTTCGAAACTAGCAACAACAACAACAGTTAACAACAGCAGCAGCAGCAACAAAATGCACAGAAACGCATACACACACACATGAATACAAGCTTGCCGCATGTATTCGATCAATTTGAATTCCAATTTGTATGTTATTTCGGAGAATCAAGAACTGCCAGCAAGGAATTTAATCGTCTCACGCAGCAAAAGTGAGCGACAAAAGCAAAAAAAGAAGGAAAAACAAAGCAAAGCACTCGGTACGGTTGTATTATATCCATATCGAATGCATACAGCACATACTGTACCTTAAATAGAGAGAAAGAATGTGGATTCTGCGTTTGTATTTGGTATATTTGTTCGAGATTTTATTTGACCAAACCGCACAAATACACAATCAAAACGATACCACTACTATGTTTGCATATAGTTATTGTCATACAGACACAAACGCGCAATATCACGAAGGGGATAAAAATGAGGTAAACAGAAACCAATTGGAATGATGATTATACAATTGGACTCTTTGGCATAATTGAATGTATGTTGCAGAGGGTTTGCACCAGGCCATTGACTCAAATAGAAAACAGCAACAACAAAAAAAACGCATATGCAGACGAGTCAATAGTTCAACGGTTCGACACAAACGAGAGGATAATGAAACATGGTTCAGTGAATCGTGCATCATTTCTCATATCGATTTCTATTGATTTTTAAAAATAGCAACGATACGCACTCATATGCGTACATGAACCTTGTGTATTTACATCGAAACGTGACTTCGATGCAACTACAACAGTTCAGAGTCTAAACGCAGACTAATAACAATCTTTATTTAAAACGAAAAAAAAAGACACACACATAAAATTGACTCTTGCGCCTGCAACGAAATGAAAAAAAAAAAAAAAACAAGAAACAATGACGCTGATCAATGACATCGAATGACACGAGATGGCACCTCAAGCAACCTATATATTACTGGCACAATGAACTTAATGTCAAACAACTTTTGTGACATTTGCAACACCGTTTATTTGTATTGCATCGTCAATAATATGACAATCAACTGACATTCATACCATCACATAAAGAACAACTGTTTTGCGTGATTTGTACAACGATATTCAACGTCGTTTGTTTTTGTTTCGCATATTTTGTTAAATAAAAGAAGCGTCGAATCGAGAACAGTTTCTCAGCCAGATAAAGTAAAAAATTAATACATCGAGTAAATGCAAACATTCATTCAGCTATAAACACATTTATAGAATGGATAGTCAGGTAATATGTGTTCATTTACGAATATTACGATCATTTTATGTTTCGGTCTAATACACTTACGTCATATTTATAGAAAATAGGAAAACAAAACGAAATTGATTTGTGTAAATGTTGGGTTAAAATTTCGATTACGTCGAGAACGCCTTTTTTGTGTTTTTTGTTATTTTGCCAAACATTTTCCATTCATCAATGAATTAAACAACAATTGTAATAAATGTGTGTATTATTCTTTTTTTCAGCCACCGCTTGATGATCATTTGGCCGATATTGTAGATGACGATTGGCGTCAAGAGCAATTACCACACGAACAAATTTGGGTTCCATCCGAAAAATTGCCGGATCCAGAGTAAGTATCGCATATTATTTTTATATTATGCGGCCTTGATACTTAACATAATTATCTTTACAGAGCCGATAATGGTGATTCACATTTAACTCTACTGGAACAGGTAAAAGTGATTCAATTTAAATATTATTTGAATAAAAAAAAAATGCTCAATCAAATCAATTGGTCCGAATTTTCTTTCGCATTTACAGGAACAACGGTGGACCGATCTTTCGCTTTCGAATCTAACACCTGAATTGGCAATGACCGATCAAATTAACATTTCTTCCGCATAAGCCCAAATCTTATAACGATGGTGTGTGTCTGTGTTTATGTGAAAGAAAACAAAGAATAAATCATAATACAAAAAAAAACTATAAATAATTATACGTATATTTAATTTATTGAATGTGAAACGTTAAGTGTGATTTCATAGACATATATGCGTATGAAAAAGTTTCGTTCAATTAGAACGAAATCAACAGTTGTATTTCTTATATATACATAAATATTTTTATTCGACCTACTTTGAAAACGAATAAAAAAAAAAATGAATCGTAATCTACATTCTCCGACGAAACTAACGGAATTTGCGCGTGATTTTGACATCGAGCCAGATACGTTTTTTGCCAAATTCGTTCATAAAATTACAAATGTATACAATAGTGGATATAATACAGTGAATGTTGTACCAGCCAGACCATCGACCCTTTTGCAAGGGTAATTTTAAAGCCTTTTCTTTCACTTTTTGCCGATTTTTTTTCTTGTTATTAACTGAATTTTAATAAAAACAAAAACATATTATTCAGCCCAAATGCGTCCGGTAGCTCGACGCCAACGCATTCGTTGAACGAAGGTAGTTCGGACAGCGTGGAATCGGACACGATGCCCGATGTTCGAACCATCAAACCATCATTACCAACAACTAGCAACGATGATGAATTTGATACAGATCAAAGTAATCCAGAGTTTCCGTCATTACAACTCCGAAGTGTTCGTAATCCGTTGAGTGTAATGCAACGGATCAGCAGTTTAATGGCTGTAAGAAATAACGTAAGTTTACATAAAATATCCTCATCCCTGAGATACTAACAAAATACACATATTATATTACGTTGATACACAGAACAATTTGACAAGCTACAAAGATACGGAACTACATCAATTCTGGATGCCAGACAATAAATCAAAAGAATGCTATGAATGTACGCAAAAATTTTCAACATTTCGTCGGAAGCATCATTGTCGATTGTGTGGTCAAATATTCTGTTCAAAATGTTGTAATCAAGTTGTGCCTGGAAAAATTATTAACTGTTCGGGTATGGTTTTTGTTGGATTTGAGAGAAAAAAAAGTACAATCATAAATAAAAAATGGTTAATTTTCAGGTGATCTAAAAGTGTGCACGTATTGTTCAAAAATTGTGTTGACCTATTTAAATTCGTCTGACATAAATTCCGATTTGAAATCCGATCTGCAGGCTTTGCAAGATGATCTAGCCAAAAAGTTTCAGTTACAAAGTGATGAGAGTAGCACATTTGTGCAGGAATTATCATCGCCACAGCGAAAAATCTCGGTCGGCTATCAAGAGGAACGTCTTCTCTCTCAACCAAAATATCTACTGTCAAATGCTGATCGAAAGAATATTTTGCAACAATCAACATCGTTGAAAATTCTGTATGAAGATGTTGCAAAAGCATTGCCAAATCAAAATCCTGGCTCCGATATTATTCACTATTTGATCACAAAAAATAAATCGTCGAATAAATCACAAGCGATTGCCATATTGACGGCAATGATTGAAGCGGGTTATATCATTGAAATTGATACGGTTGGCATGAATCCAGTGCCGATTGGAAAACAGCGAGCATTTTATTTTGATGAAAATGATGATGGCAATAATAGCAGCAATCCAAGCAGCGACAGTGATATTCTACGAGAATTCAATGAAAATGCATTCTATAAATTGCTACGGCCAAGCGAAATAATGTCCAATAGCGGTACGTTTAATCTAAATTTGGATGTCGACAATTCATCGGCGCACCTAAGCAAACCAGAGACATCGAATTCAAGTAATATATTCAATTATTAGTTATTTTGAATAAGATTTCTGTCTAACTAAAACGTTTCATTATATTTTCAACAACAAATACAGTTGTTGATGGGTTTGCTCAAAATCAGCATGGTTTTAGTCCGGCACAAGTGCGAGAATCAGACATTGAAGACACAGTGATTTCAACAACGGGTTCAAAGGGTCTACAAGAGGCATTTTGCAAACATGAAGATCTGCTGTTGAGTGAGTTTTCAATCGAAACGCATTTTATTTACACGATGACATTATCGATTTTATTTTCAGCACAATTGCTTCGAAATGAAAATTTGGATGAATCTTGGTCGAAAACACTAATACCAATCTGTGCTCGCATCGTTAACACCTTGCCACCAGAAATGATTGGCCGCAATCAAATGGATATTCGCAACTATGTAAATTTCAAAAAGGTACCGGATGGTACAAGAAATGACAGTTGCATTGTACGTGGTGCTGTTTTCTCAAAAAATGTCGTTCACAAAGATATGGCAACAACAATCAATGATGCACGCATTTTATTGCTTCAATGTCCAATCGTTTATCAACGTGTCGAAGGAAAATATGTAACAATTGAAAATTTATTGCTACAAGAACGTCAGTATTTAACAAATGTGGTTGGTCGAATTCGTTCATTAAATCCAAATATAATATTTGTGCATAAAAATGTGTCCGGAATTGCACAAGAAATGTTGCGAAACTATAATATAACACTTGTGATTGATGTTAAATTATCGGTGCTGAAACGATTGTCACGATGCTTGCACTGTGATGTGGTGTCATCGATTGACTCAAACATAGGCCGACCAAAATTGGGAATTTGTGAGAAATTTTACATTCACACATTTACCAATTCAATTGGTATGGTAAAAACGTTAATGTTTGCCGAAACACCATCGAATCCACGCGGATGTTCAGTACTGCTGCGCGGTGGTAGCTACAATGAATTGGTTCGAGTGAAACGTGTTGCTGCATTTCTTTTATTCGCTCGATACAATTGGCGCATGGAAATGTCATTTTTACTAAATGAATTCGCCCGACCACCATCACCGAAACCGAACATTTTCGATTCAAAGGACTATAGTCCGTGCACTGACATCACCCAACATTCCACCGCTAATTTATCAAATACACCATCGAATACGCAGGAGAAAAGTAACACCGCCAATCAAGGCACGAAAAAACCGGAGAAAAAAACCGACGAAAAATTGGTAACCAAAGAAAATGTTCAAGATTTTTCGGATCCATTGCGTGCGGCCGATCTTATGCCAAGCGCTTTTAATTCAGAGTGTTCGGTGAAATTTGCGGTTGAGCAACCATGTGATAATCGCTTTCGTACTGCTCTTAATTCAACCATTTTGTCGATTAGCCCACTTTTACAATTTCCATTGCCGTATTTGGAAACCGAATATGGACGCAAATGTCCGCTTCGTAGCCGATTTCCAAATGAACTTTACTATTCAAAACAATGGTCAGATAATATTGAAAAATTTAATCACAACAATTCACCAAGCACCAAATCCAATGGTGATGAGGTAAATCATTAGAAAAAACATTGCATTTCAGAGAATTCACTCTCAGAACCAACAGAACTGGGGGTCAAGCCAAGCACTTTTTACTAATTTTATTTCAACACTTTTTTTCCCAGAAAATAGCCGTGCATAATTTTCTATTACATAAAATAGTTGAACCATCCGAGAACAAAGATTTTCAAACGTTATTAGCTAGTTTTCGGGCATCCGGTGGAATGCTAAAGAAAAAATCAAAAAGTAAGCCTGAAAGATCGTTAATAATTTCATTTTTTTTAAATCCAATCAATAATGGTTATCAATTTAAATTTTCCAGTGGAGACAATCGATCGTAAGCCCCAACGAACCGAACAAGCAAATAGCGCAAATGTAGTTCAACCCAAAGACGCATTGGATATAAATAATCATCAATCGTTACCGTTACTATTTACTTATTTCTACTATAGTCCTGACGGGACCTTTTCGTTTTGTGTTCACCCGAATTTGTTGAACATCTCCTTTTATGGCGATAACGACATTATGTTGGGTCAATTTCTCGAGCGATATTGTTTCGATAATTCTTGTGTATGTGAAGCTTGTAAGCTACCAGTTTTGGGTCATGTTCGACGGTAAGATTTTGTATTTGATTATTTTTCTTTGTTGTTCTTTGCGCCTGAAATTCATAAATTTTCTTGGCAGTTATGTACATTCCATGGGCTGTGTTACGGTAAAATTGAATGAAGAAACTCAAAAGCATAAACAAATCACAATGTTTTCATGGTGCTCCAAATGCAAAGAAGTATCTAAAAGTGTAACGATGCAAAAAGACACGTACTGCTTATCATTTGGAAAATATCTTGAGTTACGATTTCATGGGCATGCTTATCGATGTCGCGATTTAAAACGTGATGAAACCGATACGACAACTGTGATGATTGACAATGAATATGTTTGTTCACATTCATTGCATCGTGATCATGTTCAGTATTTTTCATACAATGGTACGGTGGCATCATTCTCGTATGCACCGGTTGAGGCGTGGGAAATAAGTTTTCCGTCACAAAAACTTATGCTAAAAATTCAAAAAACAAATGAACCATCCACATTGCTGGATGATGTTAAATCATTTTCGGTGCGTGGATATGAAATATTTGCAACAATCTACGATCGTTTGGCGCAATTACTTTGTGACGTTGAATTTCCGCAGTTAAGCTCATTGAAAGAGAAATTGAACAAAGATCAATTAAGTTTTCGTGAGAAAGTTGGTGTGGCTCAGGCATTCATTCTAGCCGAATCACCAGTAAACGTCTATGAGATTCATGATTCAATATTTTCAATGAAAAGAGAACTCGTTGACAGCATTGAAGCATGGACACAACAACTGGCAGACGCTTCAGTACAATATCGGGCACTTTGTGCGACCGCTGCCAAATTGAATTCATCATCGACAAGTATTACGGCTGCTTCCGTTCCTCCAGCACAGAAGGATACACCCGAACGTAAATAATCTTTTTCTACATTTCCAAAATAGAAATTACACAGATTTACATAATATTCAAATAAATTCATTGCAGGTGAATCGATCGGTGATAGTCCTCTCGTTGATTCTGGCACAATTTGTACTGAAGACGATTTTCGATCAGATTCCGAATCACCGATGGATAGCTCGAAATCGAATGTATTTCTAAGCCGTGAGGTTAGCGTTGATTCAGAAAGTTCGTCAACAATTAAAAATGCGACCATTACGGACGGCAACAGCGGCGGTAGCACTAGTACAATACCAAACCCAAATAATGAACGTGAACCAAAAGCATCGACATCATCGGATAAAAAGAGTGTGAAAACGATTTTACGTGAACTTTTACCAAGTGACAAACAGGTACAACCACTACAATCACCGATACCAGCAAATGAGCATCTATCCCTTCCAGTCGGATGCCTTCCCGTTTTGGTGCATGATCAAGATTTTAGTTCGATTATTGCATACTGTTTGGCGTCCTACGATTACAAAAAGAAACTAGAAAGCTTAAGTTTTTGTGACATTTATCGTCGATCATGCGATGCAACGACCGATACAGAAGATGCTACCACCTCTACGTCGAACACTAAGGAGAACGAAAAAGAGAAAAAATCAAAGACAACACAAACTCATGTCGAAATGAATTTCCAAGATTCAATCACTTCAACGCAATTCACATGCAAAGTGTATTTTGCACGAGATTTTGATTCAATGCGAAACAAATTACTCAACCTATCAATTTCAAGCGATGCCAATGTGAATGCATCTTTCTATCGAATGCATTCCGAATGCGATGGAAAATCGAGCAAAGATTTTGATCGAAAATCAAGCAACAATAGCTTGAGCGCCACCAACGATTCAATAAAGTCGGATGAAAAATGTGATGATGCACAGAAAAAGGAATTGGAAAAAGTACGCGCAGCATTCATTCGATCGGTCAGCAAAAGTGTGCGATGGGAAGCTCGAGGCGGTAAAAGTGGATCAAAATTTTGCAAAACTATGGGTATGAATTATGCATTTCTTTTTCACAATTATCAATTGTTAATTGGCGTTTTTTTTTTTTGTTTCGTTTGCAGATGATCGCTTCGTTTTAAAGGAAATGACAAAAAACGATATATCCAAATTTGAATTTTTTGCACCAAATTACTTTGACTACATTAACCAATGTTTGTTGAGTAATCGACCAACACTATTAGCTAAGATATTTGGCGTATTCAAAGTTATCGTTAAGAAAAAAGAGTAAGTTTCATCCGAAAAAGTTCTGAAATTTTAATTTAAAAAAAGAAATTTTTCAATTGAAGAAAAAAAAAACATATATTTACAGCAATGTACAAGAGAAATCTCTTTTGATCATGGAAAATCTCTTTTATGACTTTGATATTGATAACAAGTTCGATCTAAAGGGTTCTCTAAGAAATCGTCTGGTCGACCCAAATAATCAAAGTGGCGAAGAAACTGTGCTACTCGATGAAAATCTCATACAAAGTACGTTCCAAGATAGATAGATACTTTGAATCACAATGATACAGATATATAAATTGGTTTTACATAATTATAATTTCAGTGTCTTGGTCGAATCCATTGTACATTCTCGCCCATAGTAAATCGGTGTTATGCGATGCCATTAATCGTGACGCAACATTTTTGGAAAAAAATGAAGTTATGGATTATTCGATGCTGGTTGGCTTGAATACTTCTGGAAAACTACTTGTTCTCGGAATTATTGGTATGTATGAAAGAAAATTAATTAAATACAACAAAATGTTTATTATTTTACGTTTTATCTCAATTTTCAGATTACATTCGAACGTATACGTTTGACAAAAAAATTGAATCAATCGTAAAAACAATCGGAAAACAAGGATTGCCAACGATTGTTTCGCCAAAATTGTATCGTCAACGATTTACCGAAGCAATGAATCGATATTTTTTGGCTGTTCCAGATCGATGGGAAGGATTAAGCAACACCGAATATTGAACAAAAAAAACATAAAAAATTATTTTTTTACTATTTATCTGTCAAAAAAATATATGAAAATTCTATAACCCAATATTTTATGTGGCCAACTTTTTAAATTAATTTACATTTTTCATTGCTTAAAATAAAATGAGCTAAATATGAATTACGTAAAACCGTTGTTACTTTACAAATACAAAATCTTAACTCCGCCCCACCTCCCTTCTATACTCATCTGTCATAAGTGTCATACGGCTTTTGATTGCAGCACGTCGATTTTTTATGGTTCACATTTTTCGTTTTAATAACCAAAATATATATAAAAAAAATTGTTTCAAATCAAAATGTTTTCACAATCATTGAAACGGGCGGTGCAATCACTCAATTTCGCGAGCAAGCGAACAGCAATTCGTTCAGTTAGTACCGTTTCCGCAGGTATAAGATATTTAATAAACAAACCATTTTTCGCAACCAATTTAAATGTGACTGAATGACAAGGATTTTCTTCATTCAAGAATTCGTCAATGTCAGCGTGTCAGGAAAAGTGAAAGACATTCAACAATATGACGAAAAATCATTAACCATTTACCTGAGTTCCGTTCGTTTTGGAAAATATAGGTGAGATTCATTTTTATTTCACCAATTCTCAGAATTATTTTAACATCAGACAATATATTTAGCTGTCGTCATCTGGATATTACAGCTCATCTGGATATCGTCAGCAGATGATACAAAGTGAAAACAATAGAAGTGATTGTTATAGGTATATAAGCTTGTTATATACTGGTATTACTATAACAATCACTTCTATTGTTTTCACTTCGCATCATCTGCTGACGGCATCCAGATGAGCTGAAATATCCAGATGACGCCAGCTATATTGTCTGTTTAACATTTTCATAATTTTTACAGTCAAACCCACAAAATCCTGGTGCCGACAAAATATGAAAATTTATATAAAAAGCTTAAATCGAATTTGACATCGGATCACAATCTCTATGTTGATGGTGTACTGAAAACAAAACAATTTGAGAATGATGAGAATCAAGTAAGGAGTACATCTGTAGTTATTGCCACTGATGTGCGCATATATAATGAAGCTATCACGTCAGACAATTCCACCAATAAATCCGAAGACGCAGCGAAGAGGTTTGATGTGAATTCAGTTGAAGCATTCGGCGAAATCGTCACGAGCATTCAAGGCGACGATCACAGGCGTTTCATCTTGAAAAGTTCGCACAAAAAGAATGATAAATCTACCAATCAAATTTTTATTTACGACAGAGCTTTATTTCCGGTAATCGAAAATATGAATTTCAAAAAAGAACAAATTCTGTTGCGAGGCAGTGTTGAATATCGCATTGAAAAAGACATGAATGGCAAACATGTTCCAGGATCTTATATTAAAGTTGATCAAATATACAGAATATCCATTGTATGAATATAATAATACGCATAAATAATGTTAGTTGAGATTCAAATTTTTATTTTTTTATTTCACTTCAATTTAAATGGATTTGAGGGAGGGTTCATTTCAGCTATATTACATGACATTTATCGATTGACACATGTTTTTTTTACTTGTTACCAACTTCACGTCGATCGCATTGCTGTCATTGTATTTGGAATCGTAAGAACCACACACAAAAATCAATCGAAAAAGTTAATTTTGTTTTGATCAAAATTTAAAAAAATGGTTGTGTGGAGCTCAAATTTCCGATCGATTGTCCAACCCAGTTTGGCAAACATCCTATCAAAACCAGGTGTTATCCAGGCAATTCGCAAAAATGGTAAGTTTTTCTTACATACAAAAAACTACGCAATCAATTGCTGTATGTTCGGTGAACTTGATTATGCAATCAAATTGACTTCAACTGATTATTATTTGACATATCCTATATTATCGAATACACAAAAAATCATGTAAATAAAACCGATTTTTAATGTGTGACTGATGTATTCAAATTGTAGCTGGTGCTCAGGTGCGACAGATGTCTGGCCATGGACCACGTATGATGGAAATTCAACCATCCCGCTTTCAATGGAATAAATTTAAGGATAATCTTCATTTCTATTCGTTGCTTGGTGCCATACCATGTACATTGTTGATTTTCTTTGTAAACATTTTCATTGGACCCGCCACATTAACACCAATACCAGAAGGCTATCAACCAAAACACTGGGAATACCACAGAGTACGTCAAATGTCATTTGTTTAGCACATACATATTTTGCATATTGATCATTTTCTCTATTTACCTATCCATTTTTAGCATCCAATTAGCCGTTTTATGGCACGTTATATATATCCAACGCCACAACAAGAATATGAAAAAACGTTACATGGTTTGTACGTGGAAAATGAGAAAAAACTGCTTCGATTTTTAGAAGAAAAAGTGCAAAACCTACAACGAGATCGCCGAGATTACCAAGGTTATTACTATCGTCCAACCACCGCAAGAAATTTACGTATTTCAAAAGATGCTGCAGATTACTTGGAATCACTTTGGGGAGACAACTAAATCATGTGCTATTTACTATTAAAGATTTTACAAATTTGATTGTAGAAAGGGCACACTTGTTTTGTTTTGTCATGTGGTTGCTCTTAGACAAAAAACCATGGAGAAATTGAAAATAAAAAATATCAAAACATAGAAAAAAAAAATACTTTTTCTTCTGTTGTAAGGGGATTTTTTTTTTTTTTTTTTTAATGAAAACAATCGACTTTGACATTTTTGTTGCATAGTGTTTGTTTTTGTTTTTATTTTGTTGTTGTTGATGTCTTTATTCTCACTATCAAACGTTTTATTTTTGTCATCAGCATCAAACATTTGTGATTTTCTTCCATGAAACAAAGAATTTCTCTAAGCTATAACTTTATTGCCTACATTTTTTTCTGTATTTATTTGTTTTTTTCATTTTTCTTCTGGTACACTTGTTTCATTTTCAACAGATTCAGAACATTACAACGTCTCAATTAAAACTCTATTCCTAATCAATGAATTATATTACATTACTAATCTCTAATGTTACATACAATAAAATTATGTTGTATTTTATAGCATTATTGTTGTTTAACATTTGTTGTTCCATTATCTTTACATTGTCACACAAAATATTTAATCAGATTAATTAATTTAACAATAAAATGTGCCAATTTGTTTCATAAATTGAATGAAAGTGGTCGTATATTGGCCACCGAACTCATTCTTCGGATGCGTCCCATCATTTTTCGTTCGATATCTTCTAAGCTCTTGCCTTGCGTTTCAGGCACTTTAAATATTACAAAGAACAATCCAATCAGGCAAATTGTTGCAAATATCCAGAAACATCCAAACATTTGAAATGCCGCTGTAGAGTAAACAAGTGTGATTTTGAATTAAACGAATCTATACGTGAAATATAAATGCATACCTTTAAGATCGTTAAATGATTTTGCGACGATGAATGTACATGACCAATTGAAACCAGTAGCTACCGAAGCAGCAGTACCACGAATTTTGGCTGGTAAAATTTCACCCATCATCAACCACGGAATCGGTCCGAAGCCCAAACTGAAACTCAATATATAAACGGCCAAGCTACCCAATGGTAACCAACCAATTTGTGAAACATCGCTTTCAGCATAATCTTTTAGATAAAAGTAAGCACCCAAAGACGCCAATGACACCGTCATACCCACGGACGAAATATATAGCAACATCTATAATTGATATTAAAATAAAAATGAAATTACGGCGTTTAGTTTTCGAAAAGAACAAGAATTGGAATTTACCTTTCTACCAAGTCGATCGATCAAGACGGTTGCAATGAAAATGGCGATAAAATTAACCACACCCAAAATAATGCTGCAAATAGTTGGCTTAATCTGTGAGCCAGCACTTGCGAAAATGTTCTCAGCGTAAAATATCACAGCATTTATTCCGCTAAACTGTTGAAAGAACATTAAGCCCAACGAAATGCTCAACGGTTTTAGATTGCTTCGTCTTAGTAATTGCATTATTCCATTGCTTGAAGAATGTCGCTCGGAATCGGTATGCGTTTTAACAATACCCTTCAATTCAGGTTCGACATCGGCTTGTTTGCCTCGAAGCCATTGCAATGCTTTACGTGCTCGTTCATCTTTACCTTTTGACACATACCAGCGCGGTGTTTCCGGAATAATTAACATTAACAATAAAAATGGTACTGGCAATGTGCTGCCCAGAAATGCCAATTCGGACCAGTCCAAAAAGCTTCCAAATACAAAGGACATCAGAATACCTATGCCATAGATATTGAATTGATTAAAATTCAAATGATATTATGAAGAAGCGAGTATTACAACAATAAGCTTACCAATGTTACCAAATGCTGTTGGTAACAAACCGAGTGTGCCACGCACTTCTGGTTGCACCGTTTCACCCAAGTAAACGGGCAACGAAAGTGATGCAATGCCCACACAAAATCCAGACAATGCACGACCAGCAAAAATCATCCAAACTCCAACAGCAAAAGCAATCAACAACCATGAAATAATGAATGGTACGGATGTTGCAAGAATCGTCGACTTGCGGCCGAGTATTTCAATAAGTGGCCCGCCAGCAATACCACCAGCCAAACCAGCCAATGGCATCAGTCCACCTATCCATGATTCCTTCATAAAAAAAATACAAAACATTCAATTTTGATTTAATTTGAATAAAAACAACAAGAAACAAACACACATACTTCATCTGCGGTAACGTTGAAAGGCGCATCTGTCCTCATTGATACCAGGGCAGGAGATGTATAGCCAGATGAAAAACCAACAACAAGTGATCCCAACGACACTGATAAGGCTGCTAAAATCTACAATTAATAGAAACAATTAGATCCTTACACTTCTTTGCAACACTTATCTTTTTTCGCAATAAAAAAATGATTTCAATAGCAAATTTATCGTCGCAGTGAAGAAGATAAACGAAGAAAATGTGATGAAAGTATCTCTTAAAAAATGAGTTAGACAAACCAACCTGGGGAAGTGGAGACTTCATTTTATGAACTAAACCGAATGACTGTCTGCAATTGCATGAAAATTGTTGCAATTTTCACAGCCATAATATCCATGTCTGTTCAATGGTTAGTTTGATGGTATAAATTTTATGTTATTGCTTTGGTCATTTCAAATTTATTATGGCATTTTTGCCATAATCACAAGTCAAAATCAGCAATCATGCATTCATTTCATGACTTCAAACTGTTTTTCCTGTCGAGAAGAATTTATGTGTGTTGATAAGAGGAAGCGCTTACAAATAGTCGTAAGAAGCGCATATGATTTCCCTAGGCTTGACCTTATAACCGTTTCATTGATTATTGACGAGCATTTTTCAATTTTGTTTGCGTAATTTCTTGCCACAACAAAAAAAACAAAAACCTACTTGAAGGATTTTTAATCTTATTTACTGCGACGCAAACCGTTTTGCATTACAATTAGTGCAACAATTATCAATTGATATGCATTTTCCACATCGAATTTTACTTACTTGAGTATAATAGTAAATGGGATTTGTGGTCGTTCGGTAAACTTCCAATTTTGGTTTTCCATCTTGAGTAATTTGACGCACAAACGGTACAGCTGTTCGGATGTTTTCACCCTTTCTGCCAGTCATGTCATCCATTTCAAAAAATCGTATACTATTGAAATGAATTGCATTACATTTGGGTTAATATTTAATGAAAAACGAAAAAAAAAAAACAATCTTTTATTAGCTGCATTACCTTTTCCTTGATTCAACACTTATCGTTTTCTGTTTTTGGAAGTTTGATCGTGCTGCTTCAAAATCTTCTTTATCCTCTTCAATTTTGTCCTCTTCTTCGTCTTCGTCGTCGTCGCTTGGCTCTAAATCTTTGAAATCAATGACAATGGGCTTGCTAAAATCGTAGATTCTTTCTTGCAGCAGATTGCCCTTCTCATCGAATTCTTCGTCACTTGAATCGGATTTTGTAACCTTATTCAAATTGAGCTTAACTCGAGCGTCCAAACTTTGATGTTTTCGCGATTGAAAATGTTTGCGATTGCTTGTGAATTCCTCTTCAGATGAACTGCCGTTTAAAATTCGCTCAAGAATCCTAGAATTTTTTATGTCTAACGAAACGTGTTTCTTTGATTGGAACGCTCGCCGATCGGCATCAAGCCTTGAATTCTTGAGATCCTTTTTTTAATTACAAAAAATAAAATCATAACAATGAGCAATTTGATGCAACTCGAGGCTCTCAAGTGATTCGTATTTCTTATACAATAATAATGATAGTGAGTGCTTACCTTTAGTATACCCTTTCGATCAGTGGCTGATGAGCTTAGTGATTTCTTTTGCTGGAAATGTCCGCGACGTTCTTCAAAACTGTCATCACTGTCGTTGTCTGGTTGTTCAAATGATACTTTGGATCCTTTTAGCGATGGTTTTGAGGAGGCGGATGATTTTTTCAAATTCGATATTATCGGATTTTCAAATGTTTTTAGCGTGCTACTGTTACTAGTTATGCTAAGATTATTCAAGGCGGATACGCTGTCAGCGTCTTCTGTTTCAAGAATTGGGCTGAATGGTACACGAATATTTTGCTGTTGATCAGCCCCTGTTTTGATGCCACCAGATAATAGTGTACTATCTTTGGCACTCTCGATGACCACTGTATCCAAACTGGTCGATGTCGATGAATTCGAAAGTGATCCGTCGGCTGCCTCAACACGCGAATAGCCTCTTTGAAGTGGATCCCTTTTCTCATCCTATTTTGCACATACACAAAATAATAAATGCAATCGAATTAATGCAGTTTACGCCAGTTTCATTTTCTTTCAAATTATTCAAATTGAATCGAATTCACGGAATTTGTAGAAAATAAATGTTACCACTGAAATGAATGGACCGAAAGATAAGTGTTTTCTTGACTAAATCTTTAAAACACTTCAAATGAAGGGAAATTCAAAGTACATTTAAAGATGCTACTGACTAGCTTTATATTAATATTAACACGAGTATCTGCTGTCCACGACAGTGTTCGACCGACAAATGAGGACTCATTATCAAATTTGTAATTAAATCATATTTCAATATTTGCTGTTTCAAACAAAAAAGAAACGACAGGCCTATACAGTAACAATGTTTGATTTTTGCATATTCTCCAATATTATTGTAAAAGCTGATAATTCACATCGACAGCGTCAAAATGGAGTCAAAAGGATCAGGTACAGTGTACAAAACAATAACACATACATTTGCCACCAATGACGTACTTAATCGGCTTCCCACAGTAATCAAAGCAATTTAATTTTCTGTTTAAATCTTCCATTTTTGCGATAGCCGGTTCAAACTACTTTTGTTGTTCTGTGTATTCCAATTTGTTAAATGTATACACAATATTATCAACTTTGAAATAACTATAGACAGCGAGTGATAAGGGAAATTTGGCTACAAAATTTTGACACACAAATTTTTTTGAATGGTTTCGATTTGACTCTTTGAAGCACATCATTCCTCTTTGTCTATTGCAAATAGAACTATCTTGGGATGATAGTACCATCATCATAATAATGACGAAATCATTTGTTCGAATACCGTTGTCACCATCACATTGATAACTGTGACAAATTCCGATTTGTTTACATGATTTGTTGTTTGAGGAACAAAAAATCATTTTTGTTTTTCATATTGTGTTTCGAGATTTGAAAGGTTTTTGCGTAACACCAGAGAGACAGAATCCTTGCCAATTCGCGCTTGAATTCTTCAATGAATGTGCAACGTAATTATCTTGAATAAACTTAATTATAATTTCTTATAATAAAACTATCGATATACTCTTTTTTCGTAATTAATAAGAAAGTTGCCGCTGAAATCCTTCGCCGATAGAGTCACGTCAAAATAGAATGCATCTTTGTTTTTGTTTTAACAGTTTCGTACTGTTGAAATTATTTTGTTTCACAATTTTTGAATTTGAGTCAGCGGTCAACGTTTAAAATTGTTTATTTTGATTTTTACGTCGGAAGCCATTACGCCGATCAGGTTATAAAAACAACATAGATTATGTCAAAGCGGGTCATTTCTCTCTCTCTCGCTCATCATCATTGATAATAATGTGAAATGATAACGTTTACTGATCATTCTTATTGTATTTTTTGATTTGAATACATTTAATTGGAACTATGTTGAAAACTGGAACAAATCAGCAAACCAATGGACCCAAATGGTTTTTTTTTTTAGAATTCAAGATAATAAAGGTCACACTAAATGTCGTAAATTCTGAATTCAAGATCAATATTGCCAGACGTCGATCACGACCGATTACATTGCAATAATTCAAATTTTATTGATTTTCTAATATTGGTACTAGCTATTTCGTACGTATATTTCCATTTTGATTAAAAATTCGTCGAAAGTAACGCAAACACAAGCAAATTGTGAAAACAAATGATTCATTGTTGCTTTCCCTTTTTGGTTGCCGTTTCTGTTCGCCAAATTGATGAACTAATCATCAAATGAATACAATTCTATGTGGATATATTAAAGTAAAAATTGAATTTTGTCGAATTCGTCGGCTAATCAATGAAAAATCATCTTGTTTTTCATTGCCAAATATTTTATTCGAATTTTTATCAAAACATTTTTCGAAAAAAACTGTTCATTTCGAGATGATATTTATGAATCAAACCAAAAAAAATGATAACTGACATATATTTTTACATTTTCAATTGTCGTTATCAATGCAAAATTGTGTGCTTCTCTTGAAAAACAGAATTGAAAGCAATATTGAATGGAGACGGCAATGTACATTTGAAAATCCAGTGAAACGCTTAAATTGCAGCCGATTGCAACTATTATAAACTGCATTATGGATTTTTCGTACTTGGATTTTCTATTTTCATCCCTTTGTACAACAATCTGTGCACTATGTTTACGTGCATTCAAGTAAAAATCTATTTTCTGTACATCACGTAAAATTTCAAAAAAAAAAAAAAAAAAAATATTTGCATTCTTCCCTTTCTGAGAAGAAATTATCTTTTCTTTTAGCTTTTTATGAGCATGAAAATGTTTGTAATGTTCGGCTGCGATCGTATCAAGACAATTAAGCAGACAATTATTTCATTTGCGTTGACAACAAATAAAGAAAAGAACTGATATTGAAGGTTATAGTTTGTCATGTACATGTATTTGTTAAAATGTGGCTAGTGTAATTGCATTGATTTCCATTCATTAAATTTGAATCATTTAAAATTCGACAAAAATAATATCAACAATGAACTGTTTAAAATAGATTCATTCTGTCAGTGGATATACAAAGCTATTTTTGAATGTCATCTTTGTGTAAAATATGTGAGCCACTTGTTTAAAATTAACCATACGAAGCAAAGAAATAATCGAAGCCACTGTAAAGTCATTGATGTCAAGCTGGTGAGAAAATGTGATAGCATACATGCGAGATGACAATAGACACTTTTGGCTTTAATACATTTATTGTTATCAAATTTAACTGAATAATGTGTGGCACGCTACGTTTTATTCACACAACAAATACATAATAGCCGTAAATTGTGTGAATCAAAGTGGTAAATTGATGTGACAAACAACTATTCCATTTTGACGATACTTGACAAGAATGAGAAAAAAAAAGTTAACGAAAAGCGTCCATCTATAAATAAACTTAAGTTTAAGTATGTTACTATAAACGGCATCACGTTGAATTTAAATTGTAAACAATCAAACAAACTAAGTAATCCTTTGACGACCTTTTTTTTTCATTTGATAAAATGGTCATCAAATGAAAAAAAAGCACACATTGTTGGGCATCCAAATGTCTGTTTTGTCCAAAGACATTTTTCAGTCAACCATTTTCACAAGGTTTAACTTTTTTTTTTCGTTTCAATGCAAAATTTTCCTCTCTGGACCAGCAAAAAAAATTGAAAAAAAAAATGTCTAAAACATACAGAGCAGACAGAAATGGATGAAATTAATATTACCGGATGCATGAAAGAGAAAAGACAATAAACTTTATAAATTTGCTTGTAATTTTTCGACCATTAGAATGCGATTTTCTTGTGACAAATTATGTGAATAAATTCATTTGTGAATATTCTTTTGTTTCACATTTCTTCAGTCGCTGTCTAGTGCCAATATTTGCAATTTACACAATTTTAGAATATTTTTTTTTTGCTATATCACGCATTTGTTGGCAGTAAACAATATTGGCACATTTTGAATACAAGGCTATGTTATTCGAATTTCTTCTGCTTTTTTTTATCCAATTCAAGCTAAAAAGAATATTATAGCCAATTAGCGGATTATTTGGTCAAACAGAGTTAGATGCTTTCATGGAATATTTTGATCTACTTTGGATCAATATCCAATGAGGCAAAAATGTCTATAGAATTTTCCATGAAGTAAAGAATGTTTAAAGAAAAGAAAAAACAAATCAAAAACAATTGTCGCCGGTCCATTCATTGTTATTAAAACAATATTACACAGCTAAATGGCATGAAACACAATAATTGAACTTACCGCCTCCGACACCGACCGTTTGATTTTATTCATTAGACGCCCCATGGCGCCAGATGATACTGGAAACTTGTCTCTTCCGCTCATTTTGAGTTTTTAATAAATATCTTAATATCTGCAATGAAAGTAAAAAAGAGAAAGAATCAAAAAAACTGTTCCGAAATTAATTAACACTTTGTCTATCGTCTAGTTAGAATATATGTTTGAATGGGATGGAATGGGTCCGAATATTCGTGATTCCAAACGATATTGATATACATATGTATATATCTATTGAAAATATCGAGAGGAGAGTATGTTTTTATTCAGACAGCGCTGAATAACATACTCTCTTCTCGATATATTCAATAGATATAGGGAGGGATCCGGAATGTTGCTCTTCATACTTGAAATCGTATGAAATCAATGTTGTGATCATTACAATTATTTCAATGATCATTTTATTGAATTCGATTGATTGTTTATTGGACTTGTTTAGTTTGCGGTAATTGTACAGCATTTGTATCGATTCAGAGGACACTTTCAAATAAATCGCATTTGAAAGTATTGTCGCCAAAAAAAGGGGAACAAAGATATTGATGAAAAAACCTTAATCGTTCATGCAAATTCATAATAAGAAGAGCAACACAAAAAAATTGGTTTGGTATGCACGAAACTGGTTCTCATATTGAAAAAGTGAGAACTGACCTAACTCATGCAAACCAATTTGCTTTCGATTTTTCGTTGTAGTTATGTGCAAAAGAGCATCGTTTAATCAATTGACTCTATATCTTTTAGTGATATTCATCGTTTTTGTGTTAGCAACAGATAAATTAGTGTTAATTTCGATCAACCAATACAAGAAGACGAGAATACAAGTCCGAGTTCAAAGTGTTTGCACAACACAAAAAAAAAGGAAGACTAGTGTATGGGTGTGCGCTTGTGATAATATTTATAAAATATGCCACAATGGAAATATTTGGTAAAGCGTAAAGTGTGTAATTGTACGAACGAATGCAAAAGAGATAGAACACCGATAATTTACTCTTTTTTTTTATTTGGTTTCGTTATCTCTGCGTTTCAAACCCAAACCCACCTCAATAAGAATTTATTCTCTACGAGTTTTATTTCGGTTTGTTTGAGTTTGTTCATAAATACCGTGAATCACGGAACTTGGCTTAATTATTCGAAATGAAGAAGAAGAAAAAAAAAATCGCACAAACACATTCAAAATGGGTCAGTTTCACTTTTTTTTTCGTTTTTATCGTCTATCACACACAGATTTCAGATTTGAAAATCAAACGGAAACTTTTTGCCAATAATTTTATTTGGACATTCCAATTCGACCCATTCTGATTCTGAGTCATAATTTTTTGGGAATTTGTCGTATTATCAATGCATTGTATATACTATTTGTATTTGTTGATCAATATCGTTTGTTATTTGTCCGTTGTGTTATCAAAAAATAAATATCATTTAATGTAAACAAATTAAAATAAATGCCCATATTATTTTACTGATCAAAAAAGTGATCGCTGTTAAAATCGGAACCACACTTCTGCAACAAGAGTGACTCAATTTCACAAGAAGTGGCAAACCCATTCAAAAGGATATGATCGAACGCATTTGCAACCCTCCCCCCAGCGTAAGGCATCATTCATTGCAACAAAAAGTAAACACAAAAAAATGCATACAAAACAAATTTAATCACTTGCAAAAAAAAAAACTAAATAACCAAATTGTAATTGAGGGCGAATCTCTACGTTCAATTTCAATGTTATGTATGTGCTTAGCGTTTATTTCGCTATGACTATTCATTCAGTGTTTGACTATTAAAAATAGTAATTGTGGCTACGGACGGCCGTTTTATTTTTATCTTGATGTATATCTCTGAGAGAGCGCATTGATACACATAAAAAAAAAATTCGTGCACAATCACAAGCATTATTTTAATCGCATTCAATCAATCTCGCGTGCATTTAAAGAAATAGGAACTCTTTTTTCTCTCTCGTTGCAAAACTATAAATTTTCTATGCAAATTTAGACGGATAAAATATCGATAGAATGCAAACAATTTACTCACACGAACATCGATCGACAAGTGTAAGAGAGTGGTGAACGAAGGAAAACAAAGAACGCACACAAATATTCAAATTTTTGTGGTTATGCGAATTATTATTTATATTTATATCAAACTCATGTTTGTGTGTAATTGTTTGTAGCATTTCATTCAGCTTTTTTTCGAGTCTCGATAAAACGCACATACATATACGTTATTTTCTCTTTCTCGAGAGAGAGAAACCTCTAGAAAATTCACAAACAACACCAACACAACCAGGCGAATCAATGTCGAGCGATGAGTTTCTTTGCATACTATTTGATTAGAGGCTCGTCTGAACCCATTAAACATTTAATCATGAAGTAAAAGAGAAGAAAAAAACAATCAATGACAAGAAGACATGAAAGATATGTATTTATTTTGTTGATTTTATGTGCTAAATAACTGATATCGAACAAATCATTTGACATACGCTATGTGACATTGCGTTTTAAAGTACGTGTACATAAAATATAATTCTGCCACGTGCATTATATAACATTTACATGCTCAAGAAAGTGGTGTGCCTGTTAATTGACTAACTAATGGACACGGCTAGCTTGATGTGCTCGATTTTCTTTTGATACGACATTTTTTTCTTCTTGTCCCAAGTCGCTTCGATATCAACGATGCACAATAAAACAATTCTGAACCTTCGAACTCAATCGTATAACTTTTATATCGGACCTTTATATTAATTGAATGTTGCTTTGGCCTGATTTAACTATGGTTCTCTTCCAGTTGACATATTCTACAATGCTTAACCCCAATGCAAGTGATAAATGTTATTCTTTCAGTTAAATTGAATTAAGCTAAATTAAAACAATTCAATGTATTCAAATTATCTCGACCGAATGCTAATCAAGTTGATACATTAGTTTCGCGCCGCCCTTTTGAAAGTGTGCCGATAATTGGTGATAATTTCAATTAGAAATTGCATACATATGGTACATTTCATCCGAAAAACAATATCGTAATGCATTCGATGATGTCATTGAAACTTTTTGCTCCAGTTAACAGGTATATTCATTCATGATGTAGATGTTATATCAACAAGTGTCCAAATATATGAACTAGAGAAAAGAATTAAAGAAGTTCTCAAATATTCATGAATTTTGCTTATTCAGCTGGCAGTAACAGATGATTTAACTGAGAAAAAAAAAACAATTTTCACCTACATTGCGAATGTCGTTTCACTTTGGAATGAATGCGATTTGTTAATTGATGAAATATTTTCAAATTTGAATTTTAATTTGCCGTGAATTCGAATTTTCAAACTTTCGCTGATTTCTGATAAAATAAAAAAAAAGAATGCCGTTTCAAAGTAAATGTTCGAACAGAATCGATAATAAATGAATCAATAAGGAAATAGAATTTTATTGCCAGCATCAGAGGTCAATAAATATCTTTAAAAAAAATCATGGTTTGCATTAATTGGAACATCACATTTCAACGAATGAAAATTGAGGGGCTTGGTGAGCATATGTACAAATATTTTTATTTAAAACGCCACAAAAAAAAAAAACAATTGAATGTGTGTAAGCAATTTTCAGTCGGAGTTCATCATTTTTCGGTTTTAATTCGTGGTTACCGAATAAACTGGATTTTCAGTTGCCTCAATGTGGTGCAGAGTAAATTATGATTATTCATTAATTTTCAATTGAGAGTAAAAGGAGGACAACTTAAAATCCATCATTTTGCCAGTTGAGTCTACAGTTATTAACAGCATTGAACTAAAGAATTGCCATTTTTACCGTTTTTTTGTTGTCAAATTTCCAACGAAATTTACCACAATCAACCGGTATTTTACAGATATACATATGCATATCAACCGTAAAAAAATATCTGTGTATGTGTATGTAGAGAAACCAAAATAGTACATGTTAATAACAACAGTTGTCAGCTGATTTTTCTGATTTGTCGTCATCTTTTGTGTGTGTTCGTGTTTTTTTTTATGCGTTTCTCAGTAAATACAAAACGGTAAAATATTGTATTGATTTTTCGCACGATATTGCGATTCAATCAAAATCAATAATTGATCAACGGCCACGACACTTCACTCATCAAATATCAATCAATGACTATTGCACAGCTGGAGATATTAGACACATTTTTCATTCTCTATTTTATTCGGTTTATTAATTTGGGGCGAATTTAAATTGAGCATTTGTCGTATGACTTGAATGACGATGCTAAAATTGTGTGACTGTGAGTGTGGTCCAACGAATCTAGCATTTGTCACATTGTTTAGCGTATTCTTTCACTTAAATAAGCTTTTACGATGGCTCCGACGTACTTCATCATTATCATCACAGTTTCGTCATTTTTCGTCAATTTGGGTTGCTTTAGTCTAATTTGTTATAGCTGATTGTTTAAATTGACAAGTTTTGCAAACAAAGAAATCTTTTCAATTGAACCCGGAGATGGAAGAAAGCACACAATAATTCACAAAGCAACAATGTATCATATTTGTTGGGCTGTATGGGTGGTGTGTGCGCTGTGATCTTATAACATTAATTAGATTTCGAATAATATTTAACCAGTTGCCAGCTAATTTGTAGAATGGAACAAAGAACGCGAAAGTGTCAACCATTGACAAACGTGTTGAACATATGACAATTGATACACACATCTCAATGTGTTGAGATTTTGAGATACTGTTGAATTAACACAATTATGTAAGATTATGTTATGAACAGGAGAGTGAAAAAGAAACACAAGAGTCAGTTTCATTTCACCGCAATCACATTATTTAACTGCTAATTTTACATATGAAATATTCAGTCTGAACAACAATACAATTTTTTTTCTTCAAAATGGTCTTTACCACGCGATATTACAGAATCATTTTTTTTGTTCACCGATCAATCAATTGAATTTTTTGAATGGAGTATTTTTTTTACGCATATGAGAATGTTACGAATTTTTCTGTACATCACGATCGGCCAGGTGATCGCAAAATGTGAATGTGCTCATGCTTACATCACAATGAGCTCTTTATTGGCGGTGTGTGTATATATATATATTTCTGTTTTCAAATTGATGGCTCGTGGTTCACGGTCTGCGTAAATTTTGTTACGCGAATTACCTTCTATTTGTTAGTATCTATTTGTATACGTAATTTGATGTTCGCAATTATCATACGGCCAAATGTAATTCAAATAGATTCAATACATTTGATTTAATATTCTTTCTCTCTTTCGTTGTTGTGTGCAATGAAACGAAAAAAAACCTACGATGAAAAGTGTTTAACCTTGACATATGCATCCCTCAAACACTCACCTAAACCAATAAATAAAAAACTTGTACGTTACCTTTTAATTGGTGTATTCACGGATTGGCTTTCCTTCGATTTATTAATGTATTGTGTCTTACACAACTCTTTCTCGGTCTCTTCCTTTCAAATCTCGGTTCTTAGCCAATATCACGTTTTTTTCTTATTTGCTTTTCGTTGCTTCAAACTTTTATTTTTGTTCGCAAATATCACTATGATTTATATATGCTATTTTTAGACGCTCAAAAGTCTTTTCTTTTCGTGTGTTGGTGGCGATTATTATTATTATTATTTTCGTCGTTATTGTTGCACACTAATGTCTATGTCCCTTACAATCGCGCATTTGTTCTTTTGTTTTGTTTTTGTTTTTATATTTCTTTGTTTTTCATATGCGACAAATGCCGAATTGTTTATATTTCTTTGTCACTCGGTTATCATTTACACTTTTTCGTCTATTTCGTTGCGGCTTTCATTTCAAATCGAAACATTCAATCTAACGATTAGATAATCGAACGCGCATTGAATGTCAAATTGACGGTTGATTCAATTGATTTGGATTCAAATATGATGAATTATCCTTATTTTGATTGTTCCGTTGTTGGACCGTCGTCATTGTAATTATATCCCAGCCAACTTTCTGACCTCAGTTAACTTATCACTCGTTGATTCATTTAAATATAGTTTTATCCTCGATGAACTTGATACTTGTCATTTAATTCACTCGTAGCTAGTCGATGGTTTTTCGTTTGCTTCGTTCGATTGTTGAATTTTTTAAATGGACTGGATATTTTTGCAATAATTCATCATCAGTCATCGTAAATTCGGATAATTATTTTCAAATGATCAAAAATGTTGATGCCACATTTGAGACGGGTTCAGGTAACATACTAAATCTTTGACTTAACGTTGGTATTTCCAATATCACGGTTACATGGAAAAAGAATGAAAAAGAAAGAAAAACAAAAACAAAATGATCCGATTAGCTAATGGAAGTGTTTACATATTAAAAAAAAATCATTGAATTCATAAAATGTGATGCGCAATCGCATGAGATCCATATATACCAACACACACCGAAAACATTTGCATTCATACTAATTTCGGATTTCATTGCGTTCATCGCACGTATACAAAACAAACAGCAAAAACCGAAAGCAATAAAAAGCCGCCAAAAAGTGGGAGATTGTGAGAGATGGAATTTCACTTTTTCACATATAAATTGAGTCATGTTTGCGAAAATATTTAGAATTGTCAAGTAAAAATCCTCGTTAAATCCGACATGAAATTATATCGACCGACAATACTGTATAATATGGTGATTTTTGCTTATTGTTTTATGTTTGCCGATAGCACTTGAAAAGCATTTGTATCAAAGGCAAACGGAAAAAAAATCATGATACATTTCTTAAATGAGTCAATTCGATACAATCAATACACGATTGCGATAAAAGGTTTTTCCAAAGTCATTTCCTAACCACTTCTTCATGCTTCCGAATGACTAATTGACAGCAAACTCAACATAATTCTACCTGAACTTTGATTCGTGACGTTTAAGATGATCGTTCAGTTTTACGTTAAAACGATCAATTAATCTCAAGTCATTTCGATATAGTGGATACACTTTAAATGGCCAATGAAGCGTTACCGGTTATAACATTCTCTGTTTTTTTTTTTAATGTCAAGACGACGATAAACAAAATAAAAACGGATGTATTATGAAAAAAGATTTTTCCCAGCTAGTATGCAATGATATGTTTTACTTTGCGGTAAATGATAATTTTTTAGCGAATTTCTTTTTTGGTTGTCAAGTCCATTCCAAGGGCAACCGAATTTTCACACACTGAAATTTAAACTTCGCGCACAAAACTGACGTTATCTAATGATCGTCGAAAGATCATCATCTTTAAATGCCTTCTTTTTTTAGCGCAAATGCCAAAAGTATATGTGTGCAAGAATTCAATCATTCTATTCTCTTTCTGACATGTGCTCATTTCTCTGTGATTTCCTTTTTACACTCAATCTTTTTATTTGTACATATAAATATTTATTTATCATTTGTTTGACGAATTTGTTGTTTTTGTCTGTGTACGATGTACGTATTGATATTAAATTTATAATTTACTTGTATAAAATTTTTGGTTATTCATTTAAATGTGTGTTCGCGACAATTTTGTTTGTTGACATTGAGTGTACTGCGTGGTGCATTATATTTTTAGTGTTTTGGCATCCAATCAAACGATCAAAATATGCGTTGCTTACAGTTTTCTTTTTCTGTCCGTAGAGTAGGAAATACATACCCAAAAAAAAAAACGCTCGCAAAAAAAGTTTTTTTTTTTTTTAATTTCGCCAAATAAAAAGGTGTCGATCAGTTGGTTTTTCACAATTAGAACTGATTAAGAAAATGTATACAATATTTTAACTGATTTTATTAGTATTTGACTTTGAACCAAATTAAATTGTCAAAATAAAACCTCTTTTTTTAGAAGAAACACACAAACAGAGCGCCTGCACTGTAAGTTTTTCTCATTTGATATTATCTACAAAACTGAAGTGTACATATCAAATGGTTCTGGTATATATAGGTTGGGTATCGTGTCGTGCCGGTTCGGTGTGTACTTCATCAAGTCGCTTATTAGGCTGTCCGTGTCTCACACAACAAATATACGATGACGATTCAACTTCTAGGATATTTATGAGTGACCTCTGTCGTGCTGTTAAATCACAGAATAAAACCATTTTTTGCGGAATATTTTTTTTTTCAAGTATCGATAATTTCATTGAAAATTTTGAACAATTTCAAATGTATCAAATCGAAAAATGCATCATATTTACAATCGGTATCATTTTCACCTAAAGCCCATATTTATTACGAATTTTTAATCATTTAGTTCAGGTTCAAACCTATGGCTCAACCAGTTTTAAGATGAATTAAGCGGCCAGCCTATTTCTCGCGTACACAATGTGAGTATTAAAATCGTAGTATGATGTTTTTTTTCGTTGCTCGTGTATACATATGTTTTAGTTCGTTCTCTTCTTCGTCTCTTCTTTTCGTTGACGTTTTTTTTTCGGTGGTCGTTTTTGTCGCTGTGTGTGTTAATGTTTTTCTTTGGTTGGCTGTTTCAGTACTTTCTCGAATAACTGACAGTATAAGATAAAAGTATGACAATCAACTCAAAAATTTAAATCGCTTTCATTTAAACATTGAAAATTGATTATAAAATTTGATTTAATTGATTTGAAAAAGTTGTGATTTGAATTCATTTTTAGACCATTTCTGACTATGAAAATCAAGCTTTTAATATGTATGGACGAGAATTAATGAATAGTAATGATATATTTTACTGAAGAAAAAAAATACGTACGTCAAAAAATGGATTTTTTCAGGTTTTTTTCAATCGTAAAATAATCAAAATTGTCGTAAAAAATGGGTAAAATGTGTATAAAAGTTGTTCTTCTGGATGTAAGATGATATTTCTTTTACTTTCATTTCATTCGAAAAAGATGCTCGGTTTCGGTTTGACGTATTTCTATAGATATTTAAATAAATCTATCCTTGTCTGTCCTACTGCATAAAATGTTAAGCGGTGTCGAATTGATGAATAATACGTCTGTATATTATATATATTTTCAGCTATAGGCAGTGTATGTATTTTTTCTCTCAGAGGAGAATCTGTTTTTATATGTGTTATATTTTTTTGTATATTCGTTCGAATATGCACGTATATTAAAATGTATTGGGATGCGAATCGTGATCGCATACACTTGCAAATTGTCACATTGAATGCTCAATATATCCCGCCTAATTACAGCTATAAAGTGTTAGTTCGTTTTTCTTTTGATTCTGGTTTTGCACATCACTGATTGTTGTGCTAGCGGCTATTACTTTGAATACACGAATGTCTAAGAACAAGCATGTGAATGGGAGGATAAATTGCATTGAATGACAAAAATAACATGATGTGCATTGATAAAACTGAAATATCACACAGATGTTGTTGATTCAATCATATGTTGCACATTTTCGCCAAAGATTTGAAGCAACAAAAACAAAAATTCTCAATGAATTCAATCAGTCCAATGTAGGAAAATGCTGTAAATCGGAATGGAACGCACGCAAATTATTCGATTCATGCTGATCAAGCACAATGTTAGTCATTTGAAGGACATTACTTGATGCTACCACAAAGTTTATTGGCGATCAACACAGGTAACAGGGACCGATCACCCATCATTTCAATTGCAATTAAATGAAAAGCTCGCTGACCCCCCGTAAAATAGAATGGCGTTAATGATTTCCATGGAATGCGTATTTGATTTACATTTCAAATGATCGTCGATCAATTTAAATTAATGTCAATCGGGTTTGCTTTTTTTTTACGATCCACACGAATACAATGTGATCCAATCACATTTTTCTCAAGTCAATAAGCAACTGGCAACGCACTTGTTTATGTCCCATTCAGCTTAACAGCAACAAAAATAAACCAAATAAATCAATTGTCAATCATTCGATTTATATATATATATATATTTCGCCATCATTTGGATTTGTTTGTTTTGGTTTTATTAGTGAAAGCATGCAAAAAAATTAAATGCCAAAAATACTTAACGTATTCGTACATTTCCTATTGAAGCAAAAAAAACAAAAAAAAAAAAAACAAAACAAAAACATCACATCGAACCATCAACAGCATATAGTCACATGACGCAGTTACCTAAATCACGAAAAACATGCTATTTATTTCTCTTTTTTTACTGTTGAACTGCAATAGCTGCCGAATACGTTGGAAATTTTCCACTTGCATACGCATCAGCATACGCGTCGGTGATCTAGACGGAATTTTGCAGTACACACAGTATAAAGACTTTTAGCACATATATTGTATATATATACATATATATGTTTCTTATACGTCGCATGGCCTTTTCGTACTAGTTTTAATCTTACGCAGAAAATGTATTTTCAAAAAAATCAATGGTATTACTCATGGCGCTCAGCGTGTGTGTGTGTGTATTATTAACTCCGGACACGGTGAGAGCAAAAGAGATAGAGTACAGTCCATTTTATCGGAATGTTCTAGTCATATGGAACTGATAATTGAATATGAATACGTTCTACAAATAATAATAAATAAAAACCACAACACAAGCAACGAGTTGTTTCGCTTTGCTTTTGCTTTTGTCGGCGCTTCACCCATATCAGTTGATCCGATTATTACTTTCGTTCCGCGATCGGGAAAAAAAAGAGACACGATGTAGTGAAAGAGAGGTTGACGTGCTTATAATGTTATTTCATATTGGATAATGGAAATCCAGTTCCAATGTTAGCCTAATGACACACCAAAAGCACTTCGAATATGTCTGATTACTTTGCTGAAACCAAAATGAAACATTAGATGAAAAGTAATTCATACGTCATCGCACAGACACATATAGATATATTCTCTGGTATTTCATCATTTGCCTTGCCGATTTTTATGGAATTTTTTTTGTTGCGATTTCGTTTTTACTGTTTAATTTACAATACCAGTATTGTATATGTATGTATAGAAGTGCATTCATTCCAGTCTGGAATCTAAAGTGTGGTATGTTATGAAAAAAAAAAAATGAACGAAATATCAGCGCAAAATAAAACGCAAAATCACCGATATCGTGTCGGTGTACGAAATGTGCGTGTATATGTGCACGGCGTATAGTTAAGTCTGGATGCATTTAGCACACAAACGATGTAAAGTCATTTGTACTGAATGAAATCGACTCTTATCAAAATGCATGCGTTATCGGTCAAGAGCAAGTATCTAGTTATACTTTTTGTAGGAATAGTAGTAATATTTCTAGTCAAGGGGATGTTCTCAGAACCAAAGTCTAAAGCAAAAAAAATATATTACGGTATAGTTTT